GATCCTTCAATTGCGACAAATTTCGGAATCGCCGCATTTCGTACAACGATTCCTGCTTTTTCGAGGGAATCCAAATTTTTTCCGTGGATTTTGATTCGCGCTTTTGTTGGATCTTCGGGAATTGATTCTTCAACCTTAAACCTTGTAATTTTATGAAAAGAAATACGGAAAATTATTCTACTTGAATTTTTACATCGTATTTATCACAAATTGTTTTTACATTTTTTCCATATTTTCCAATAAAAATTCCAACAAATTCCTGATCGATGAGGAGTTCAACGGTTCTCACGGGTCCACGTGAGTGATCGATAATCTCAGCGACACGGAGTCGGACCATTTCGAACTAAACAAATTTATCTGAGAAATATCTACGCAAAAACCAATACCTTTTTCTTATTATTCGTTCGAACAATTAAAAAATGGTATTTTCCATCTGCTGGCTTCTCTTCATTTTCAACCCATTCATCAATCCCTGGACTTTCGTCCCAGCCTTCTTGAATGATTTCCAAACTGAAAACCATATTTTAAGAAGATATCAATAATGAAAATAACACTTTGCTCGTTCTGCTTGGTCTTCTGATAATGAGCTGATTATACATTCAACCTAAAATTAAATAATTAAAGTAAAATTTGAAAATAAACAAAAATTACTTCTAATTCGCTTGAAATTTTCCTAATAGTGCTTCCTCTTTTCCCAATCACCGCGCCAATAGCAAAAGAGGGAATTCCAAGAAAATATTGCTTATTATCATCAATGATTTCAATTTCGTCTTCGTCTTTTGCCTTTTTAATAGTTAACTTTCTTCCGAAGAAATATACGCCAATAATTGGAAGAATAAGAGCAGTTGTTGTAAGTGCAGCGAAAACTTTCAGCATCTGAAACGCAAAATATTTATAAACCGAGAATAAAGAAAAACTATGAGTAAACTGAACGCTGAAAAGTTGTCATAATTTAGAATCAAAATTACGGTAACTTCAAAACTGTGCAGCGATATTGCAGATTTGTCTACCGTACCATTTAAAATAATTAAATAGCATTTTTCTTTTCAGAATGGTTGATTAGGAAAAGAGGAATCTGATGATTTCCATCAATAATGAAAAAAATATCAATTTCATTTATTATATACGCATTTCCAAAGCATTGCTAAGAAACATTTTTGTATATTTAAACTATCAACCATTTGATCTTTTCTAACCGCGATTGGGCGCCAATGAAGCAGTCCACCAATTAAAATCACCATTCTTCGTTGAAAAAAAAATGCGATTTATCTATATCTAAATATTTATTACCGAAAGGAAGAGGATGAAATACATATACTCACAGAAATTGAAGAGAAAATATTCAACACTTTAGCTATTCCAAATATGTCTTGACCCAATGTTCCTGACACGTTGTTAAATGCAAAAATAGCAGCAATATAATTAACTCCATCTTCTCTGGCTAAAAAAAAGAATTTTAAGTAGTTCGAATATTAGCAAAAGTGCCAAATGGCAAATTATGAGCCGAATTGGTTTTGTGAGTCCAATTGGCAACCCGCGCAATTCAAATTTATCAAATTTGTCCGCCCCGACAATATTAAATCTTACAAAATTCATCTCCTTTCAATTCGTTGTTTGCATTCTGTTGATTTCCTTGATTATTTGTTTCTGAACATAATTTTTTACAACATTTTTTTCGTTTTGAGGACGCTAAAATAATTTCTGAAAATTTTTAATTCTCTGGAAAATAGGAAATAGATCCAGAAAAGAGAAAATACGTAGAACGAGATAGCGCTTTTTTTTTTTCAATTTTGACTGCCGAAAATATTTTAATATTTTTGAAAAATAAAAAAATTGTGGTCAAAAATTCCATACACAGGTTTCCAATACATTAAGAATGCTATATTTTCATAAATTCTAACCTTCATTCATATCATATCCTTCCTCTTGATATTCCGACAGATCTTCGACAACGGCCTCTTCTGTCATTGACGAATCATTCATCAATTGTTCCTTTTTTTCGCCTAAACTAAACATTAAAATTTTTTTATTCTTCTCAAACCTGATGATTCCATGTCGTTTAACTCACACATCTTTGAACTGGTATCTCTTTTCTGAGACTTTTTTTCGAAATTACCACGAAAATTAGTCAACACGGCGTCTGAATAATTGATATTAATATGCATATATCTATATATTTTTCAACACAATTGGTTACCTACATATGTGCTGCCCGCTTCTTTTTCGAAGCTTCACTCGCTCATTTCCAAACATGGACGCTGAAATGAAATACTAATTTTTCAAAAAAATTAAATAAACAGAATTTCTTTGATCCTATTTATTGAAATCTATGAATTTCAAAACGTGGTGTAATCACGGCCGCATGAACTCTGCGGACTTGCATTTTAATCTACGCCTATATATTTCAAAGTCTGCGCAGAAGTTGCGAGGTTTTGCCGAGTAGCAAAAAATAAAAAAAATGTCACGAATTGTTCGCAGAACATTTAAATGAGACTCTAATCAATTTGGGAAGTGGAAACAAAAAGTGCGCCGCAATTCTCACTGACGGAGAAGAGAGAGATTAATTTTTTTTAGAAGAAACCAAACTTTTTTATTACACTTTTATAGAAAAATAACGGAAGTTTGTCATACCGACAACACCATATCATGTGAGGAAGAACACTGCAAAAGAATGTTTCCCACAATTTGCCTCCATATGTTTTCAATTTAAAATGTATTGCTAATTATTAAATTAAAATTTTCATGCAGTTTTGATGATGTTAGATGAAGAGGATAGAATTGATGCATTGGAGAAAATTCGAAAACAGGCGCTCCAACTTTCAGAGCGAAACATTATTTTAAATTCGAGGCCATTACAGTGTGGGTTTGTTTTGATTTAGTCTTATCTACATTGGAAACTTCAGCAGACGTCAAGGTGGCATACAAAAACATCTTCATAACGCGCTAAGATCGACAATGATACATTTTGATAATTGAAGCTTTTGACATTCATCGAAAGAATTTTTGAAAAGTAAAGCCAAAAATCACGAGCCATAATTCGTGAGCCAAGATTCGCGAGCCAAAAAATATAGTGATTACGAGCCATTTTTTGCGAGCCAAAAATCACGAGCCAAGCCATTTTTCACGAGCCACTACTAATTGGCCCATGATTCCCGGGAGCACACACTGCTTTCGATAAATTTTCTTCGAGCGCATACACTGGATGGTAGTTGATGGAATGGACTCTTAATTTTCGAAAGTGGCAAATGTGTAGTAGTTAAAAAGATATGTTGTCGAACAAAAATAGAGCTACTTCGGAATGTTGTTCAAGAATATCGTTCGGCAAGACGGAAATCAAATTTAAAAAAAAAAGTAAAACGGGCATTACCAACGGAAACAGAAATTGAGCATGCCGCGTGTTTGAACTTGATGCATTTTATCTATTTGTTTCCTTAATTATTTGCTCAATTGCTTCAGTATTTATATAGTATTGGCACTACTCCCAACACTGCGGTGTATTATTGAGTATTTTGAATAGCCGATAATGGGTTCCGAGGTCTGAGAGATAAGCACGATGAGTGCGAGTGAAAAAAAATGCTTAGAAAATTCGAAAATTTGCGAAATTGAAATTATTGCGCACTCTGCATTTCATTTGCCGAAAATACACATGCTGTTTACTTCGTTATCTTTTTCTATTTGCAATATTTTCGAAATATCGTTTAAGGACCGCCACATTACTCTCATTATTTTATCGAAAAGTCAACGAATTATTTTCAAAATAATTTTCACTACCACTATAGATTTTATTCGCTTTTTCTTGCACTTTTTTAGGCCGAAATTGAAAGGAAAATTTCGAATCTACTAATATAAGTTTCATAATAATCTAATTGCAAAATTATTAAAACCTTGTATTTTTTAATTTTAAATTTAAATGGCATTATTATCCTAATTTTATAGGATTGTTGATCGCCACCTATTGATGAACGTCTGCGTCATTTTCAAATTATTCTGCTATTCATATGTGTATTCGTGAGATCTCGTGACCAGCGAGAAAGTGTGGTGCAAATGCGCGCATAACGTCTGCTCTCTTATAATTCTACATACTATTTTTGTTGCATGTTTACAGCAATGCCGCGTTTCTACCCTCAATCGCTGCCCAGTTTTGTCGGCCCACTATTGACTTCATCGTCTTTCTCAAATCGATATATTTCGCGCTTACGTGCGTTTCATTGCGGTTTCGTCACCTTCAATCCAAACAAGTCGCTACTTTCCAACACATTTTGCGCGTACCATTTGTTCCCAAATCCACATGACGCGAACAATTAGTATTTCCACATCAATCTAACGAACTGTGTCTATTTTCCATTTTGAAGATTCTATTTTGCCAAACACTATGAATTACCCAACAATACGACGAATAGCTGCAGAATCAATGTGAATTATTGATGACACGTTGAAAATATTCTCGAAAATTTCGTGAGAGATTTCAGAAGACTCTTATTAGAAATTGCTGTTGAAAGTGCGCACAATTTCTGCAGAGAACCTTAAATTCTCCACGAACTCTGCTGAGACCATTAATGTTTGCACAGAACTTCAACAGAATTTATTCGTACTTTTAGTAGAGTATGCGTAGACGTTCAGCATTATATATAAAGAGTTTTCTCAAACTGCACGATTTTTCCGGAATTTCTATAATTCCATTTAATGTCAATTTTATTTTCCATCCCCAAGACTTTTATGTCGTATTCACATACGAACTGTTCTTATGCCAATAAGTGCTACAATACGTTGTTTTTGCAAAACTCGCTGCAGTTTCGTAATGTTGTTCTTCTATATTGATCTTTATCAACATTCTACACTCTCGTTTCCTCGCGTATGACGTTCGATAGGCGTTCCCCTTTTCTCTGACCTGCTCGGTCGACCACGCTCATTCATAATGTCGCGTTGGCCGTTCCAGTGCCACACTTGTCCCTCTTTTATATTCGATGCTAACCTGAAAATCGAATATTTTACATTTTAGGATGTTCTACAACCGCAACCAACCAAACACCTTCCGTGTCGAAGTGGTCTTCAGCAAATCTGAATTTCCCTATGGACTCGCGTCGTTAGAGGTTTAATCGAATTGATTCAATCTTTTATCATTATGTTTTCAGGTTTCTGAATTGGACTGCGTTGATAAATTGCGCGCTTGTGCGAAAAAACTTTTCTCGTACGATGATTTCTCGTTGTTCATCATCATTAGTCGTGGAATCTATGAAGAGCTTGTTGATGGATCCCGTTTCGTCAATTTCTATTTGAAACCTCGCGCTACTTTTGGAGGAAAAGTTCGTGGGGATATTCATCTTCGCGTTGTGGAGAGCAAGGACCGTGAAGACTTCATAAAGGCTAATTCGTTTCCAATGCCATGGAAACCAGTGTAAGTCGTCGTGAAATTAATAACTTCACATGTTTCTTTTTCAGGAGCGATCTCATGCTTCACAACGGCGCTTTCCGCGATAGATGCGACTAGTAAATTTATCTTTTTTAAACCTTACATTAATACACAAAATTCTTTCAGCTACCCAGGATTACAATCTGGAAATCGCTCCTAGTAATTTCGAATTTATGAAACGCGTAAATATTTTCTTGTGTTTAGTTTCGACTCCTTCAATGAACGGCCTTACTTCGACGATTTGGATTTGAGCGAATTGAAGATGGAGTTGGATACTCATGCCAAGATGCTCCGTTATGAAATGTCGGAGAAATTCAAGACTAAAAAAGATGATTTTTTGAAGCGATTGGCTGCTGTCGAGAAGACTACCAAGTCTTTGAAGAACAAGTTTTCAAAAAATAATTCATCGGTTAGAATTAATTAGGATTGTAATATTCACATATATTCACATACTTTAGGAAAAACTCGAGGCTCATGATGCAATTTGCGACATCTGCAATAAGGATATCGTTGGACACCGTTTCAAATGTCTTGTTTGCGCTGATTATGATCTTTGCCAATGCTGTGAGCGTCAGGGAAAACACGCTGAGCACGCAATGATGCGTATGGTTTCAAAGAACACCCTAATCCCAGAGAAAATTGTATTATTGTCTTAAATGTGACTGTGCGATATTATTTATGTTTTTTGCAGAAGATTGCTGCTCAAATGTCAAGAGACAACAAACAGCCAACTGCATCCAAGTCGAAGTCTAAAATTGGAAACGTTTTCTTTGATCCTATTGCGATGGAAAATAAGTTCCAATTTCTCACAAAAGAATGCCAAAAGTTGGAGAAATTCATGAGACATGATAACGGTTAGCTTAAAGATAATTTTCAAACTATTTCGCTTGTCGTTTCTCTTTAGGTTTTCCTGCCGAGAAACCAGCCAATCAGGAAGATGCCAAAGCCGCAGACCAATCAAATAATGTTACAAACCATCCACAAATCAACATGCAATTTTTCCCTCTCAATGATCGCGAAGAAGTGACAAAGAAGATTATTAAGAATATGCGTCTTGCGGACAAGCCTGCTAAGATTGCGAAACCAAAGAATTTCAAAGTCGGAAAGAACCCGAAGACGACCGACACTGTACCAAGCGAAATGATTGTTAGATCCGGTCCTGCTGGTTACATGGCAAGACAAGACAAAACGCCACCATACCGCACACCAAGTCTCGCATCAAGCTTTGAAACCTTGGAGTAACCGGTGAAAAATGAATTTTTTGCAGTGTTTTATTTCAGATTTACTGACGACGATTTCTCTTCTGACGAAGAAGTAACGAATGATTACTCTTGGTCAAGTCTTTATCAAAAAGTGTCGGGCAACTACCAGAAGGCTCCTACTGTTGATGTCATTTCTGTTGAGGAAGAGGAAAAAGTTCACACCGCATGCCCTCCGACTCCAGATGTCATTATTGTCGAAAACGCAGAACTTCCTCCACCTTCAGAAGTTGTTATCGATGATGGTATTCACACCGCTTGTCCTCCAACTCCGGAGCCCGAACAGCCGGTTAAGGATGACATTGACTCGGTACTGAAATCCTAATATAAATCAAACTCAACAGTGATTCTAGGTTGCCTCCGCTTTGCTCGAAATGGGATTCCAGTTCACCGAGATTCAACGCGCCCTCACCGTCGTTGGATGCGATTTGGACAAGATTTGGAGGATCATCCACTTGCTTCAGAACAACTAAACACCGTTTTGTACATAAATGTATATCCTGTACCTATACATTCATTAATACATTATATTATTATCTTACACTCTATTCACCAACAACTGAATACTCGAAATTTGATTTTTTTTTTAGTTTAAAAATCCACAACTCCTCTAACAGTGTTTTACAAACCTTATTTCTAATGAATAAAGTTATTCGTAACAATATGTAATATGGATGAACAAACACTTGTACAGTACTTTGCAGACTAATTGATAAACTAGTCGGAGAACAATCCACCTTCCGTCACCGTTTATCAGTGGGTAGTTCTCCACCGGGAGCACACACTACTCTTACAGTTACTTTTTTCCCGTGGTCGGCCAATTTTTTAGCAAAAAAAAAGTTTTATCGAAAGGTTGTCATTTCCGGTTTTCGGCCCATTGCCATCAACCCCCAATTTTCAATCCCTACCCCTGATTTTCCACCCCCAAAATTTAACCCCCATTTTTATTTTTCAACCACCCCCAGATTTTAGCCCCCATTTTTATTGGCCAATAGTTCTTCGCTACCAATTTTTCGCTCCGCTACCGGTTTTTCACTACCACATTTTCGCTACCGAAAAAATAGTTTTTTCACTACCGTTTTTCACTACCGTTTTTCACTACCGATTTTTCACTACCGTTTTTCACTACCGATTTTTCACTGCCGATTTTTCACTACCGATTTTTAACCACTGTTTTTTCACTGCCGATTTTTAAATTTCTCAATTTCAAAAAAAAGAACAATTTACACAAATAAAAGGGTATTCATCGAAAAAAGGGGTGGAGAGGAAATATAATATAGAACAAAAAAGGGGCCAAACAGCATAACTAAAAAAAATATTAAAACGGGGAGAACGATCGGCGCCTTCGTTTATTTCGTTGTGGACGTCTAAAAAGACTACTCTGTGTCGATTCAACTTCTCTGAAGACATATTGACATTTGTTATATTTACGTCGGTTTATTATTACCCATATTCTTCGTATGATGTACTTTCCAAAGACTCCACGCTCTCTTCATTTCTCGTACTTGTTAAAATTGGTTCGAAATCATTACTTATTGACGAATCGTCAAAGATCGTAATACTAAAAATATCAATAAATACAATTATATGAAGTAAAAACATACTTAGAAATCGACTGAAGTTGTCTTACTCCATTCATTTTGCTCAGCGCACTCCTCATTCTAGGACAAGATTTTTTTCCAGTTTTTGCAGTGCGTGATGCCTTAATCATTCTTCTTTCAGATAATTCGAGGCATTTCGACTGCAGTAAATCGAACTTAAGGGCTCTTTCATCCTTTTCCATTGATATTAAAACAAAAAACTGAAATTATAAGGATTTACTTTAGAAGATTACTGAAAACAACATACATATGCTCACAAATCTTAGGAAGTTTCGCTTGGCAATTCTTTTTGCAACATTCGAAAAAAGAATCAGAACATTTAACTTCAGATATTTCACTAAAAAGAGTTTGAATATAATTGAATAACTAAAAGAAACGTAAAACCCACGTTTCACTTTTTATAAAATAACCACATTCTATAGAATACAATTCGAGTTTTCTAGCAGCTAGCTCTAATTCGTAAAGATGTTTCGGTGGATTTGCTGTAATCAAACGTAAATAAAATTCATAGAAAAATTATTTTTCTTACATTGCTGAAAATAGGGAGGTATGGCAACAGTTGACCGTTCTTGGAACCCCAATTCCTTAAGCCTGGTCCGTTTTTCACTTTCCGAAAGAAAATTGAATTCGTCTTTTCGAGAATACACAACCAATTGATCTTCGGCCAAAACAGCTTGGTATAGATGATCTACATCATCTGAATTACTTTTTTTTGAGGTTTTGCTAAAATTGCATGTTAGAAACCTCCAAAAACTTTAATAAGCTTTAATGCAAGTTGGTCAGCCCTCATCGAATTAGGGATTTCATGGCGTAATCGGCTGTTTAAATTTTCGATTAGATTTGTGGATACGAACGGCTGCCACCATACAGATTTCAAGCGCGTTAACAGCCCGTTTTCACGAAAAAGGCTCTGACCTTCAGTTGATAGCCTAAACCAGTTCAAAATTTACGCGATGGTGTAAACTTGACGCAAAATTGCAGTTATTTAAGCAGCTTTTATTACCATTAAAAAACTGGGCACTGGCCAAGTGGGGCTAAAGCCGATGTGAATGAACAAAAAATGTACTTTCCAGTCAAGGGGCGTCAAGTATGACATCTATATGTAGTAGATATTCTTTTTATATGTAGTAGTATATTTGAGTAATTCTAGAAGCCGCGTTATTTTTCGGAAAAAAGACTAAATATATCAAATTATGTTTTGTTGTAAATATCATAATTTTTTATGTAACATAATTTAAAATAGAATATTTTTGCTTCTTTACCATTTAAGAGCACCGGAATCGCTTATCATTGACGTGAGTTTTGCGAGTTTGGAATTGAATTCAATTTCGGTTACTGCGCCTAGCAATCCACATTTAATCCTCGAAGGTGATGTCTGAAATATAATGTTGATTGATTTGCCAGGTATTGTGGAAAAATGACGAATGTGAAAAACTTCAGCGATATCCTAAGCATTTCGTGCGTACACCGAGTCGCTACAGTAATTTTAGAATCTTAGTTACAATAATCTCAAATGAAAATTATTTAATCAATTATTATATATTTTTTTAAATTTCTTTCGCTGTTTTCTTGGCGAGTTTATGGTTTTATGTATATTATTGTGTTGAAAAAATGTAATAGTAATCATTTTTGTATATTATTCAAAGTTAATTGTTTTAAATAAAAATAAACTATCAATAATTAATTAAATCATTTTTAGTTGAGGTTACTGTAGATAAGATCTAAAAAAAAATTGCTACCAATTATTTTATCCGAGGTAACATAAATTTGATTATTAAAACCACGTACCTCACCAAAAACCATTCTGGTCAGTCGAGCGCGAGTTGTTTTATCCGTTGTGGACATCGAATTTTCAAAATTAGCCATGCGATGCAAATCACAACGCAGACGTTGTGAATTACGAAAAAGTGGGATTGTCTATAAAAACGAAGTTAAACAATCAAAAACAAAAAGTTTTTAGTTTTTTGTGGGTGCGAGTTAATTGTTTGCTTATTTTTAAAAATTTCGCTCTAAGATAAAAATGGTAAACGCGTTTGATCATTCAAATTAATGAAAGGTTTCATTCAAACCTTGTAATATTCCTCAAAGGATTTTTCACCGTCCGTGATGAATCCAGGCACAACGCGGTCATTTTTGAAACCTTGCTTCTGCAGGTATTCGTTCACATGGTTTGCGTGAAACTTGTGGCATTCCATAGTCTTTTTCGAGTGCAACAAATAGCTAATGACAATAGTTCTCGGTTTTTTTGATTTTTTCGACCTGTAATAGTTTAAAATTGTAATAGAACAATAATCTTCAATGAAACTCACTTGAATATCTTTACTGTGGTGCACATTAAAGTGACATACAACTCGCTCAATCCGAATGTTGTATCCAGCTGAGTGACACCACTGAACAAAAATCCATCATCGTTTGAAACTTTCCATTGTTCTGAAAGGACAAATTTATATTTTAAATATTTCAACTAATCGAATACCTAATAGTGATTGGATATGTTCCTTTTTATTATTTTCGTTTATGTCTTCGAACAATCTCAGGTGAGATTCGTACTCGTTAGTAGTCGGTAAACAGTTTAAGACAATCCGAAAGGGTTCATCAAGAATAACCGACAAACAATCTACCATTCCACCGTTACCTGCAAAAGTATTTTCTTTTTGTCATTACGAAACGAAAATGTTACACTCAAATACGCTGTACTTTGCATTCGGAACGTTTCTCGCTATTTTTCCTAATTCGGATGTGGTGGCAATAGCTTTGACGCCTCGATTGCAGCCAATCGATTCAGGTACGTGTTTCCTTTGGTTCCTCACCTTAAACATGCAGGTTTCAACTTATTTAAGATTTAAAATGTGTTTATACCTACTCAAGCGAGAACTTGAAGCCTTTTTTATGTAGAATTTCATATGCACTCTTTACAGACCTCCCAATCAGTTCGCTTCGAACGATATCAACTTCTGAGGCTAAAAAAATATAATATATCTAACAAAAAGAAAAAAAATAATAACCTGTCATCCTATGAATATCAAAATCCAAGCTAATTCGTTCTTCATCGCGGTGATAGTCGACGATAACAAAAGTCGAATCGTCCATATAAACTACCTGCAAATATTTTATTTTTATATTGATAACTAAAGCGAGAGAAATTTGCATACAGTTTTTCTGAAACTCGCAGTGGACGGCGATCTGCACTGGATTGTTCCATAAACACGTCCATTTTCATTCCATTGCCGATACTTCGGAGCGATTTTTTTTCTCCTAAACGGCAAGCGATTATGACGAATGAAACAAATTTCAACCTTGAACTTGTCTAAACCATTTTAAGCCGTCGTATGTTAACGGTTTTCCATTATAGCTACTTTTATCTACAACAAAGCATTTTCTGCCTTTCCAATCCCCTCTGATTTCCTTAGCAACGTCGTCAATCGTTAATAGTGTTCTAAAAGTCCAAATAGTGAGAAAAAAACTCTTACGAAATACCTCTCAGAGGATTCAAGCTTCTCTATTCCGTTCCAAATGGAAATTAAGTCTCTTTTGGTTGACTTCGAAGATATATCGCTTGAAATAAACGCCATTCTGAAAAATGTACTTTTTTTTAAAATTAAGTATAATGTTTAATGCAGGTAAAATCTGAAACTAAATCCATAAAAAATAAATTTAGGCCAAAAAATATTTTCGAAATGTCAAAAAATAAGCAATCCGCAAACACTGCACGACGAATGTATTCGCAATAATAATTGCACCGGTTACCGTACTCCGCGCAGCGATTTTTTTTATTTTCGTATTCTATTTTTATCCTACAACCATTGTTTTTAATGTTTTGCTTACTTTTCTTCTTTTCTATATTATTTTTTGATTAAAAGTTATTTTTTAAAATTATATATTAAGCAAAAACTAATATGAAAGTGTTTTTTATCGAGAATTTGGGCAAAAATCAGGAATCGAAATTAAAAAATATATATTTGCTGTTACTGAATTTTTTATCGCTGTTTCACTTTTGATTTGTGTTTCTATTATTTCGTACTTGTGTTATTTATTCAAAAATAATTTTTCAGATATAGTCGACGTCCGGCGGCTGGTAGATTTACGGGAATGCGTCTTTCGAAATGGTCTCGCAATCATTTTCTATCAACTCTTAGCAATTAGATAAAACTGAAAAGAAATAATTTTTTAATAACGTTAAAAGTGGGTTCGTGACAAGTAGATTAATAGTTTGAAAGCTTTGCAGCTTCTACAATTTTTGAAAGTTCCCGATAATAACTATGAATGAGTCGCAGAGATAATACGACAAACCGCGCACGAACTTGGATAAATTATCTACTTCATAGGATTTCATCACAAATTTTAAATAATACCAGCTAATCGAGGTGTATATATAAAGAAAACATAATATAGTTTCTTAAGAATTTTTAAAGATCTTTTGAAGACAGAAGCCATCAGGTTAATTTAAAAATTGAATGATTTTTTGCCCTTTTTTGTTCTATATTATATTTCCTCTCCACCCCTTTTTTCGATGAATACCCTTTTATTTGTGTAAATTGTTCTTTTTTTGAAATTGAGAAATTTAAAAATCGGCAGTGAAAAAACAGTGGTTAAAAATCGGTAGTGAAAAATCGGCAGTGAAAAATCGGTAGTGAAAAATCGGTAGTGAAAAACGGTAGTGAAAAATCGGTAGTGAAAAACGGTAGTGAAAAACGGTAGTGAAAAAACTATTTTTTCGGTAGCGAAAATGTGGTAGTGAAAAACCGGTAGCGGAGCGAAAAATTGGTAGCGAAGAACTATTGGCCTTTTTATTTTTTTTTTTTTACCGGTCAACGTTAATTGACTCAAATTTTTGACTTGAGTACTTAATTATGTTCTTTTGGCCAATACCGTAAATTTTCCTAGAAATTGTCAGTGTTATATGGGGGAGGGGGTCTTAAGGGGTCCGAATTCGAAAGTTTTTAAAATTCCAGAAAATGATCCTAACAAGGGAGGTGTTTTTACTTAGTGGTTTGGAATTTTTTCTAATTTTGCACACAAATAGATCAAGAAATTCCCTATCGAGTGTGCTATGTCGTTTTCTGCAAAAGTTCCAAAAAGTCGCAAAACTTTGGGTCCGAAGTTTCAAATTTTGATCCATTGTTTTTATACACTGTTTCATTATTTTTGCCATACTTCCTCACCACGCACAAATACCCCATTTCGATGGAGCTGCTGCAAGCAGCGATGGTTCAGTGGAATGTATACGGGTTATTAAGAAATGGATTGTTGGTTCGTTGCCCCTTCTCGCAATTTCATTTACAATTAATTTGTGATAAAATTTATACATGTTTTATAATGGCTTAAAGGTTTAATTTTGTGAAATGAATAGTTGTGTTGAACGGAAAATGAGACTGTAAAAATGGAAAGTTCATTTGATTTCAAAAATTTTTTTTCAAAATTTTTTCCACTCTGCTGCCCAACCATATTGCAACCACCATCCTCGGTGTAGTAACAATCGACGTTCAAGATTCACAGCCGGGAATTCATTATTCTAGAAAGTTGTTCATAAAACTCGCATTTCCCTATAATTTCACAGTGTTGTCTATTGCTTTCCGCCAATTATGTTCTCCGAAGCTCCGGGGATGGTTGCAATATGGTTGGGCAGCAGAGCAGAGAGGGGATCAAAATTTGAAACTTCGGACCCAAAGTTTTGCGACTTTTTGGAACTTTTGCAGAAAACGACATAGCACACTCGATAGGGAATTTCTTGATCTATTTGTGTGCAAAATTAGCAAAAATTCCAAACCACTAAGTAAAAACACCTCCCTTGTAAGTGCCCATTGTTTCAGAAAATGATGCTAAAACGTAAATCTTTTTCATCAAATTTTCGAAGCTTGATTGATACTTGAAATATTGGAAATTGTGGGAATAGATTCACGCTTTCGATCGTAATCTTCGCGAATTCTATCTGAACCCCGAATCTGAACCTGAAGTCTATCTGAACCTGCTCTTCCGTGAATAGTTCATTACTTGTAAAAATTTTCTTTCATAAGGATAGTCTACCTAGTTTTTGAAAAAAAAATAATAATATAATGTATTAATGAATGTATAGGTACAGGATATACATTTATGTACAAAACGGTGTTTAGTTGTTCTGAAGCAAGTGGATGATCATCTTGTCCAAATCGCATCCAACGACGGTGAGGGCGCGTTGAATCTCGGTGAACTGGAATCCCATTTCGAGCAAAGCGGAGGCAACCTAGAATCATTGTTGAGTTTGATTTATATTAGGATTTCAGTACCGAGTCAATGTCATCCTTAACCGGCTGTTCGGGCTCCGGAGTTGGAGGACAAGCGGTGTGAATACCATCATCGATAACAACTTCTGAAGGTGGAGGAAGTTCTGCGTTTTCGACAATAATGACATCTGGAGTCGGAGGGCATGCGGTGTGAACTTTTTCCTCTTCCTCAACAGAAATGACATCAACAGTAGGAGCCTTCTGGTAGTTGCCCGACACTTTTTGATAAAGACTTGACCAAGAGTAATCATTCGTTACTTCTTCGTCAGAAGAGAAATCGTCGTCAGTAAATCTGAAATAAAACACTGCAAAAAATTCATTTTTCACCGGTTACTCCAAGGTTTCAAAGCTTGATGCGAGACTTGGTGTGCGGTATGGTGGCGTTTTGTCTTGTCTTGCCATGTAACCAGCAGGACCGGATCTAACAATCATTTCGCTTGGTACAGTGTCGGTCGTCTTCGGGTTCTTTCCGACTTTGAAATTCTTTGGTTTCGCAATCTTAGCAGGCTTGTCCGCAAGACGCATATTCTTAATAATCTTCTTTGTCACTTCTTCGCGATCATTGAGAGGGAAAAATTGCATGTTGATTTGTGGATGGTTTGTAACATTATTTGATTGGTCTGCGGCTTTGGCATCTTCCTGATTGGCTGGTTTCTCGGCAGGAAAACCTAAAGAGAAAAGACAAGCGAAATAGTTTGAAAATTATCTTTAAGCTAACCGTTATCATGTCTCATGAATTTCTCCAACTTTTGGCATTCTTTTGTGAGAAATTGGAACTTATTTTCCATCGCAATAGGATCAAAGAAAACGTTTCCAATTTTAGACTTCGACTTGGATGCAGTTGGCTGTTTGTTGTCTCTTGACATTTGAGCAGCAATCTTCTGCAAAAAACATAAATAATATCGCACAGTCACATTTAAGACAATAATACAATTTTCTCTGGGATTAGGGTGTTCTTTGAAACCATACGCATCATTGCGTGCTCAGCGTGTTTTCCCTGACGCTCACAGCATTGGCAAAGATCATAATCAGCGCAAACAAGACATTTGAAACGGTGTCCAACGATATCCTTATTGCAGATGTCGCAAATTGCATCATGAGCCTCGAGTTTTTCCTAAAGTATGTGAATATATGTGAATATTACAATCCTAATTAATTCTAACCGATGAATTATTTTTTGAAAACTTGTTCTCCAAAGACTTGGTAGTCTTCTCGACAGCAGCCAATCGCTTCAACAAATCATAGTTTTTAGTCTTGAATTTCTGCGACATTTCATAACGAAGCATCTTGGCATGAGTATCCAACTCCATCTTCAATTCGCTCAAATCCAAATCGTCGAAGTAAGGCCGTTCATTGAAGGAGTCGAAACTAATGAGATCGCTCCTGAAAAAGAAACATGTGAAGTTATTAATTTCACGACGACTTACACTGGTTTCCATGGCATTGGAATCGAATGAGCCTTTATGAAGTCTTCACGGTCCTTGCTCTCCACAACGCGAAGATGAATATCCCCACGAACTTTTCCTCGAAAATTAACGCGAGGTTTCAAATAGAAATTGACGAAACGGGATCCATCAACAAGCTCTTCATAGATTCCACGACTAATGATGATGAACAACGAGAAATCATCGTACGAGAAAAGTTTTTTCGCACAAGCGCGCAATTTATCAACGCAGTCCAATTCAGAAACCTGAAAACATAATGATAAAAGATTGAATCAATTCGATTAAACCTCTAACGACGCGAGTCCATAGGGAAATTCAGATTTGCTGAAGACCACTTCGACACGGAAGGTGTTTGGTTGGTTGCGGTTGTAGAACATCCTAAAATGTAAAATATTCGATTTTCAGGTTAGCATCGAATATAAAAGAGGGACAAATGTGGCACTGGAACGGCCAACGCGACATTATGAATGAGCGTGGTCGACCGAGCAGGTCAGAGAAAAGGGGAACGCCTATCGAACGTCATACGCGAGGAAACGAGAGTGTAGAAGGTTGATAAAGATCAATATAGAAGAACAACATTACGAAACTGCAGCGAGTTTTGCAAAAACAACGTATTGTAGCACTTATTGGCATAAGAACAGTTCGTATGTGAATACGACATAAAAGTCTTGGCGATGGAAAATAAAATTGACATTAAATGGAATTATAGAAATTCCGGAAAAATCGTGCAGTTTGAGAAAACTCTTTATATATAATGCTGAACGTCTACGCATACTCTACTAAAAGTACGAATAAATTCTGTTGAAGTTCTGTGCAAACATTAATGGTCTCAGCAGAGTTCGTGGAGAATTTAAGGTTCTCTGCAGAAATTGTGCGCACTTTCAACAGCAATTTCTAATAAGAGTCTTCTGAAATCTCTCACGAAATTTTCGAGAATATTTTCAACGTGTCATCAATAATTCACATTGATTCTGCAGCTATTCGTCGTATTGTTGGGTAATTCATAGTGTTTGGCAAAATAGAATCTTCAAAATGGAAAATAGACACAGTTCGTTAGATTGATGTGGAAATACTAATTGTTCGCGTCATGTGGATTTGGGAACAAATGGTACACGCAAAATGTGTTGGAAAGTAGCGACTTGTTTGGATTGAAGGTGACGAAACCGCAATGAAACGCACGTAAGCGCGAAATATATCGATTTGAGAAAGACGATGAAGTCAATAGTGGGCCGACAAAACTGGGCAGCGATTGAGGGTAGAAACGCGGCATTGCTGTAAACATGCAACAAAAATAGTATGTAGAATTATAAGAGAGCAGACGTTATGCGCGCATTTGCACCACACTTTCTCGCTGGTCACGAGATCTCACGAATACACATATGAATAGCAGAAAAATTTGAAAATGACGCAGACGTTCATCAATAGGTGGCGATCAACAATCCTATAAAATTAGGATAATAATGCCATTTAAATTTAAAATTAAAAAATACAAGGTTTTAATAATTTTGCAATTAGATTATTATGAAACTTATATTAGTAGATTCGAAATTTTCCTTTCAATTTCGGCCTAAAAAAGTGCAAGAAAAAGCGAATAAAATCTATAGTGGTAGTGAAAATTATTTTGAAAATAATTCGTTGACTTTTCGATAAAATAATGAGAGTAATGTGGCGGTCCTTAAACGATATTTCGAAAATATTGCAAATAGAAAAAGATAACGAAGTAAACAGCATGTGTATTTTCGGCAAATGAAATGCAGAGTGCGCAATAATTTCAATTTCGCAAATTTTCGAATTTTCTAAGCATTTTTTTTCACTCGCACTCATCGTGCTTATCTCTCAGACCTCGGAACCCATTATCGGCTATTCAAAATACTCAATAATACACCGCAGTGTTGGGAGTAGTGCCAATACTATATAAATACTGAAGCAATTGAGCAAATAATTAAGGAAACAAATAGATAAAATGCATCAAGTTCAAACACGCGGCATGCTCATTTATGAAAATCTAAATTATGAAAATTATGAAAATTTTTCTTCAATTACGTTTTTCGATTACTGATTTATCGCCTAAAACGTTTTTACAGGCCTGTTAGGTAATGAATGACATACTGTAAAACGTTTTGGACCTATTTATTCAATAGAAACTGTAGAAATTTACACATTTTTGCAAAAAAATGCAACATTAATGTAATTTTTTTTATCATTTCTGTAAAAATAAGGACATTTCATGAATAGGTCGTTAAATTCCGAAATGAAGCGAAAAATGGCATTGCGGATCGACTTGTGCATTTTATTTGACAACAATACACAACTTCTGAGACAAATTGACGCAGAATTTTTGTTCTTTTTTATATATATTTTTTTAAACCTTAAAAAATTAAGAAGGTGAAAAATCTACAATAGCCATTTTAAAATAATTTAAGTCCTCGAACAACGTTTTTAACCTCCTCTTTTGGATATGGTTTAAGTGCGATACATACTGGGAATCCGTCTTCAATCCAAACCTGAAAAAACGAAGTTAAAAATTTGATTAAATTTTTATTTTCTACTAAGTAAAAACCTTATGATCGATTTTTTTAAACTCCAGTTTTTCGGCAATTTTCTTAATTTCTTCTTCTGAATCCACCTAGAACAATTATTCCGATAAATATTGATTTTACACTTACCCCTAATGTAACTTTGTGCATTGAATCAAGATTACTAGTATACACTTCAGTGTTTGGATCATTTCTAAAATCCATTACTCACAAAAAACCACGAAATAAGAGTAAAACCTAAAAATCCACATAGCGGCACTTGCTGCATGTGCCGCCTGCGTACACACAGCACCAACCGGCCAATTCAATTTCGTTGTAAGATCTCTCCGAAGTATTAAATACATGACATAAGATGTTGGAGAAGCCGCCATTCTAAAAATAGCAAAGATTGGATAAACAGTTTATGAAGGGTGCTTGAAAGGAATATTGGAAGAAGTATTATCCATTTAAATACGATATCAACAATAAACTCAAACCATTTATTATGCCATACAAAGTATTATCAACAATATAGAGAATCAAGGAATTTTTCGCAACATCTCACGCATTGGTGATACACCTGAAAACAAAATATTGTCTGAAAAATCTGATTAAAAACCTTTTCGAACATTGCCGATCCTGAATGATAATATGGATCGGGCACTTCGCGAACACCTTCTGGATCGTACTCTCCTAGCAATCCAAGGACTGCTTTCGCCTCGGATCCTGCTTTATCGCGAACATTTTTCAAATCGCTGCAAAAGTAATAATTACTTTTTTTAAAAAGAAAACTCGATATTTAATCTACTTTAAATTTTCATCATCCATGCCGAAAACATAATCGAAGTCCTTGAAATGTTGAGCACTGATCTTAAAAAATGCAACATGATTGGTCGAAATATTAATACCATTTTATATTACCACTTTGGCACGATGCCTATAATCGGTGATTCCAAACTTTTTCAAAATTTCCATGGCTCGCTGATCGGGCGAGTTTCCCGTGTGATATCCGATGATTGCGCTGCTATCGACAACCCATCTAAAACATTTTTTTAAAGATGGCAATAATTAACACATACTCATCCAATTTCCCTCGCCGCTTCAAACAGTCGATGAATACTGCTTCGGCAATTGGTGAACGGCATATGTTCCCTAACAAATCTCTCTCATTTAAAATGTGAAATCAGGATTCATATTATGTATAAAAAATCTACACTTATTCAAGGTTCGTCGTTATAAGAGTACCACAAATGTTTCGAAATTTGAATTATTAATATTTATTATTTGCAATCTTAATTGTATATTCATATGCATGCAGTTATGTTTGCTGTCGCATTTTACTTACCTAAGCAGACAAACATGATTTTCTTTCTTTCTCCCATCTTTAAAAGTTAATTGTCGAGTTATATTACAATATTTCGTAGATATTTAGGCGGAAACGTAAACCCTTACATTGTTAGCAAAAATGTATTACTCTAATCGTTTATTTTTAAATCATTTTTGTTACAATTTTCTATTTAGACAAAAAAACGATAAAATTCGAAACTAGACACGAATGATTCGACTATCGTATATATTTATTGTTGGGCCTTCTCTCCCGGTTGCCATCCCTGGATTTTGGTACGTGTAGTCGAATATGGGATATATTTTTTGTCTCTGAAATATCTATTTTTTAACATTATTTTTGGGTGTTCTTACTCATAAATGCTGGTGTTTTCTTGATGCTTTAGGACAAAAGATTGGGTTGGTGGCGGTTTGACGACTGGAGTCTCATCAGTGATGTGATGCAGCCAAGCATGCCTGAAAACAAATAAGTAGAACATTTTCTTTGTAATTGACCTGTTTCTCCAAAAAATTTCAATAAAACATTGTCAGACTCTAATTCATATACATATGTCTGTAGACAACAATGCTTCTTAGAAGTTATGCTTAATTTAAAAAAATTAACAATTTTTTGTTTGAAAATAACTCTGTGCTTTAAATAATGCTTTATAACCAATTGGAAAGTTGCAAAACAAACGAACCACTCTGGAGGCACTTGGGTGGCATCATAATCGAGCCAAACCTTATCCGGATACTCAACCCAACGGTTTCTCGGCACGAAATACTCATTATTCTCGTAGTATCGATTACCGAAATTGTCAGTTCCGACGAGTTTTCCAACTCTAGTCACATCCATTCTGAACAAATCAAAAAAGTTGAAAATGTTTCAAACTAAACACGTACAAATATCTCTTCTTCAAAGCACCTTTCACACCTCCCAATTCTTTGACAATTTGCCCGAATTTTTGAAGTTTATCAATTCCCAGCCAGGCTTTCAACGACATCTAAAGAAAATATAAATAATTGTCTCTCTGAGTTTTTGAATAGAAATAATTAGAGTTGGACAGACTCATCAAAACAAAAAAATCACATATAAATACAAAATTTATGCATTCGGATAATTTTGGTTATAAATTAGCGAATAAATTATTGAAAAAGAAAAAAGAAGCGGAAAATTGGTAAAACTCATGGACCAGTCAATTATGATGATGATCATGCATTTAGATTTGTTTCACGACAACCACAGAGTTCAAAAGATCGGCGTCTTTGATTGAAATAGATTCGTCATCGAAAACCTGCAACTATAAAAATCAATCAAAATCAAAGTATCGAAATTACCTTTGGTGGGTAGGCCGACATAAGCTGGAATGGACGGTACTCAAGATCGGGACGTGCACTGAAAATTTACAATTTATTTAGTACAGTTGTAATATGTATTTATTTGAAGAAAATTTGATTGAAAAGGATTTCAACTTACGTGCAAATGAAAGATCTGATAGCACAAAGAGTATGAGTGTGATTGAAGGTGGCGACGAGTCTTTGGTTATTTGGGAGACGAATTTGAACCTGAAACCAGGATAATTAATAAATTATACTAAATCGTAATAACTATTTTGTACGTTAGTGGTTGGTTGAGAATTGTCAAGGTTCAATTCTATTTTGGCTTTCTCGAGATCCTTGGCCTGCTCATCTTGACTAGCTGGTGGAACGACAGGACCACTGCTGCTCTCCCCGACGATGTCAGGAACAACATTTCCCAAGCGAACGCCTTGTCCTTGGAATACCGAAAATTTCGGTTGTTCGTAGTCGATGGTTTTCTTTTCGACGGCAACGTCTATCGCCTTACTACCATATGCTCGAATCATTTCTGGGGGAATATGACTGAAGGAGTGGACTTATCAGTTGAATATTCAAAATTTCGCAATACCCATTGAGAATTTGATTTAACACGGCAGCATTTTCCGGAGAATCAAAATTTCTTAGTGGCCCATTGTCAATGGTGTAGCCATTCTTCCAAATAACCAGCTTCGCCTGAATTAATCCATTGAAAAGTATTAGTGATTTTATTATCGCTTACAGTTGGACGACTTTCATTGGAAGCGGAAGGAGCAGGAACTGCTTCTCCAGGTTGCTGAAAACTGATTATTTGATGAATTCATGTAATATCAATGTTACTCCTTGCGAAATAATATCACCCCGAGATCTAGCTGTCTCCATGATGCGGCGGAAGATGTCCTCCTCGTTTCTATTGGGACCCACAACTTGCTGTCCACTAAATTTATATAGTACGAAATGCGCTGATTTTTGCCAATACCTTCCAACATAGAAGTCTTGTCCTCGTCGGTTATTCGATTCGCCATCAGATCCATTACCCTCATGATCACTTTCACCATTTAAATCATCAAAAGTGCGAATACTAAAAAAAGACCATAATGGTTAAAAAAAAAACGAATTCCTTACTTTCTGCTCATTTCAGCTGTCTTTTGAGATAAGTAAACCTGCAATTAACTTCTTAAATATTACAGAAACCGCTTCAAAAATAAAATAAAAAGAAAAAACGCAGAAGAAAAATAGCACACGAATTCTCATTGTACGTAATTCTACGAACCCGGTGTTTACACATAATACAGCCGATGTTACGAAACAATGAGCAGCGCATTATTGAGCCTAGCAAAAGTCTAGTAAAACAGTGAATACCAGTGTGTCTACCCGGGACGAAGTTTCCCGGGAATTTCCGGGTTCCCGGGAAATTCCCGGGAAAATTTTCCCGGGACCCGGGACTCATTGAAACTTAATTTCCCGGGATCCCGGGATCCCGGGAAATTCGTTTCCCGGGAAACGCGGGATCCCGGGATCCCGGGACATTCATTTCCCGGGTTTCCCGGGAAATTCCCGGGACACCCGGGACAATCCCGGGACAATCCCGGGAAAGTCTGCAAACACCGCGCGCGCAAACGCACACTCTTCGAATATTGCGTATTGTCGTTTTTTTTTTCGAAATTTTATGAGTTTTCTTATTTTCTTTGTCATTCTGATTCGCGACATATTCAAATCGAATCTTTTCAGTCAGTCTTTTCAGATCGAATCAGCGATATTATTTATTATTATAATTTATTGTTTACTTGATCGATCTTCAATAAGATTTTTCGTTGAAAAAAGTATATTGAAAAAAGTTTAAAACCATTATTTCGTATAAAATTCTTGCTAATTTGGAAAAATCGTTATTTGCACATTTCAATTGTACTCATTTTTCTGCCAAATTTTAAAAATTCCAAATAGGGACTTCCTACGCCATTTTCTAAGCATTGGAATCTTTTTAAAATAAGAAAATTCATTAAAATGAAACGAGAATACGCAATATTCGAAGAGTGTGCGTTTGCGCGCGCGGTGTTTGCAGACTTTCCCGGGATTGTCCCGGGATTGTCCCGGGTTTCCCGGGAATTTCCCGGGAAACCCGGGAATTTCCCGGATTTCCCGGGAACCCGCTCATCCCGGGAAATGAATTTCCCGGGATCCCGGGATCCCGAGATACCGGGATCCCGGGTAGTTGCGGGACGAAACCGGGACGAGACCCGGGATTGGAGACCCGGGATTTCCCGGATAAACCCGGGAAACGAAATTCCCGGGATCCCGGGAAATCCTGTCCCGGGTAGATACACTGGTGAATACCAATTCTACATTTCTTTGCAAAAATAAATAACTAACAAAACTATTTGTTGCAAATAAGTTTATGATGACGACATCGACCGACTGCCGTTAGCTTCTTATTCTTCTTCGTAAATTCCTTTTTTGGAAATTATTCGCAGTATCTGCTAGATATTAACGCTTTTATAAAACATATGTTATCGAATTATTTAGGAAAAAAACTACATTTCTTGGAAAGGGCACTGCCGAATCCTTGCATAGTGTTTCGGTGAAAAGCATGAATTTTCGAGTTCACTGCGTATGAAAAACTGAAACCGGTTGAATGGTATATAAAAGTAGATAGATCAAAAAATTAGATGATAAAGGTAAAAAAAAAATAGAGGGAAAATAAGACTCAAAAATCCTTACAATCAATGAAAATAGATTACGAATTATTTGGAGAAATATTGAAGAAAATGTAATTTAAAAAATAGATAAAACACAGAAATCCTGGGGTACAGATAAAATTGACTTGGTCAATTTAAGAATCGAACAGTGTATTTATTATATATATTCACATTATATGGCACCTTTAGAAAAATTTAATTTCGAACAAAAATTTTCAATCTCGATGAGAAAAAATTTTTTTTTAATGGTTCGCGATCCGTTCGAAAAAGTTCAATTGCACAAACTGGATTATTTTCAATTATCATTATCCTTCAAATATGTTCGAGACAGCTCTATGTTTATAGTTCGAATTTGTCAGTCTGAAATTATGTTTGATGTTTTCGATAATTTATATACATAAATTGAATATTCAATTAGCAAAAAAACCAGCACACTGCTCCGATTTAGGGAAACCCTATTTTTTGATAGTGGTACCACGGCTACTGGTTTTTAACAAATCATATCTCATTTTCTTGGATGCATTAAATTTCACATTCCTGTTAAACATACGTATTACTTTTTTTTAATTTAAAATTAGTTTCTGATTTAAAAATTACTTAAATTTGAGAATTTGAATCTTGTGCCTCGTGTTTGCCACATATGCCACGCCCAGAATAACGCGCCGCGGTATTTTACTGCGTCGGTATGCAACGCTTAAAATGAGTATTTGCCACATATTAGCAGTCCAGTTTCAATTTAAAATGTTTATTTCATTAGATGTATAACATTTCTTCTGGTTGTCGCTAAAAGCGCTTTATTATTCGCCGTGTTACTTTTATCTTTAGAAAAGGGACATATATTTTCTTTTCAGAAAGCTTCGCACAAAAATGGGACGAAAGAAGAAGAAGGTAGAAAAGCCATGGTGTTGGTAAGTGTTCCTTTAATATTATTTTTAAAACAATTTTTATGAATTTAAGCTGACAAATGTTGTAATATACATTTCCAGGTATTGCAATCGCGAGTTCGATGACGAGAAGATTTTAATACAACACCAAAAGGCGAAACATTTCAAATGTCACATTTGCCATAAGAAATTGTTTAGTGGACCCGGGCTTTCCATTCATTGCATGCAAGTGCATAAAGAAACCATAGACAAGATTCCTGGAGGCCTTTCTGGAAGAGACAACGTTCACATAGAAATTTATGGAATGCAAGGTGTCCCACTTGGAGCTTCCCGAGGAGGTATTTATTTATATTCGGTTTGATTTTTAATGTATTCGACGTTTATAGACGAGGAACCTGACGATAAACGGGCTCGAATGGGCGATATGGCAGCTCCTCCTCTCCCATTCCCGCCATTCCCATTTCCGGGATTGCCGCCAATTCCCCCCGGAATGCCTCCTTTCCCTCCCATGCCGCCTGTTCCTCCAGGTATGCCTCCCGGAATGATGCCGCCAGTACCACCAGTTCCTCAACGACCGATGCCGCCTGGATTTCCAGCCCCTCCGAGAGGGATGCCGCCAATACCTCCTGGATACGGACCACCACCGCCAATGGGTAGACCTCCCGGGTTCCCGCCAATGCGGCCGATGGGCGTACCGCCAGTAATGCCAGAATCAAACCGAGGGCGATTCGACCAGGAGCCGGCAGAGAATTATGTTGGACGGGGGGCGAGAACGCCGCCAGAAGAGACCGGAAACGCACAAAGTAAGTTGAAAAACCGCCATTTTGGTAGGTTTACTCACTTATTTATAGGCTACGGTGGAGACTATCAAGATAAAAGTGGATATAGTGATTACAACGACCAATATGGAAATGGGGATCGTTACAGGACAGATTACGCGAAGCAAGACTATGAGGTATCTAATTGAAATTCGATACTTCCAAAATAAATTTACTCTACAGAATGCTCAGAGCGTTAGTCATCAGCAACAACAACCCCCCACGGTGCAGTCAGCAGCTTCGGTGGCAGCCAGCAAACTAGGATCTCGAACTAGAATAGTTCATCCGGATGATCATTCACTTTCATTGGTAATTCAATTTTTGAGCAACTTCAACAAAATTTCCATTTTCAGGAAGAGCGCCGGGCAAAGCTCGTTGTCGAAAGTCGGTATCATTAATTGTTACAATTATTTTTTATTTATTCATTTAAAATTTTAATCATCTGAACCGTAAATCACGGAATTAAACTACTCTGATATAAATATGGAATCATTGTTGAAGGCGAGTGTTAATATAAATTAATATGCATTCAAAATTATCACATTAGTCTTCATCAACGAATGAAATTGTACCAGCGTTCTTCATGTATCTCTTGTAACGTTTATATCTGAAAAATTCAAAATTTGGAAAATAATTTGAATTCTAGAGCCGTACTTTCCAGATTGAGCAAGCCTTTCTTGTTCTTCCGCATCTTTTTCAGCTTTCCAAACAGCAAAAGCTTCTTTTTCCCAACACTTTCGATCTAACATATCGTCGATGTCATTATCACCGAATTTCTAAAAAATGTTCAAAATTACTATATTTTAGTTGACTCTGAACCTCGAATTCATGTTCAGAGATTCCTAAATTTTTGCGAATCAAATGCAATTTAGCCTCTTCGTCATATTCTTCTTTGTTTATCGTAAATCTCCAATGCCAAATTGCTAGCCATTTAAGATATACAAAAATAGTGACGGGCAAAACTATAGTTTGCCAAGCAAGTGTATCATATACAGATTCCTTGCGATATCCTCCTCTGTAAGAATTGGCTGTTCATAAGTCATTGAAACGAAGATGTTAACTTACGTGACATCCAAATTTTCAATAATGATTTGACGAATGACAGCATCGTTGTCTCTTCCTTTAACTTTCTTAAGTTTTCCTTTGTTGTCAACTTCGAGAAGCTAAAGATATTCGTAAAAGATGAACTAGTTTTTTTCTTCATACTCCTTTCTCGATTCCCGTGTTGATGGCGCGATTTCGGAATTTGCCCACAGAAGTCGCGTAATCAATTGCTTCTGAGAACTTATGGCGAGCGCTCAAATACTGAAATGTATTAAGAATGATGCCAATTTTGAATTAAAAATTGAATTACTTGAAAAATTGAAATAACTAGAATTGTGCCGACTATTACAATTCGGACATCGACTTTTGGGGCTACTCGTAAACGATAATACTGGTAATAATTATAAAATCTGAATCGATTTTTGAAATTTTGGATTATTTGAAATAAAAAGACCTTTCTTCTGGGTGATCGAGGTAGTAATCGTAGTTTGTTTTCGCGTCATCGTCTTTCAGCGTCTCATATGCTGTTGCAATCACCAGGAATCGCTTTTCAGCATCAGCTTTTTGTTCAGCGTTCTTGTATCTATCCGGATGGTACTTTTTCGCTAATGTGCGATAAGTTTTTGAGAGTTTAGACTTGTCGAACTCGTTTCGATCGATTCCAAGAACTAAAAAAACATAAAAAATGAGCACTCGGTGTAGATTTGCGGTAAGTTTAATTTACAGGCTATGGGTAATACGGTGTACAAAGTACCGACTGTTTAAATCGAAATTTGAATAACCACCTTGATAATCTGCGATGTTCCAACGGTTTCTTCTGTTTTTGCTATGGTAAGTATATATACAAAAATGGGCGTCTTGAATAATTGTGCACTTTTTCGAGGTGGTAGTTCGAATCTCGATTTATTCTGTTCGGCTTTGAGTACTACGGATATCCAGCGAAGCTAACTCGCCGTAAATCGGCTCAGGGGCGCTCATATCCGCTATGGTTACTTAAATAATAATTATTTAATTACCTACCGTCATAACAATTTTCCAAGCCGCAATAGAGTTCGGGTGCAAAACCTACAGCTTCTGTCTGTTGAACCCATACTACTACAACGATTATGATTGTTGGCCAAAACTGTAACATCATAATTCGTCCTGAATAAATGTTAAGCTCATCGGAGATTTTTGCGATTTGGGCAACGATATAAAAAACCGGAGACATCGGGAAAGGTAAACAGAGCAACGCGATTATTTCAAATGATTTATTCGGATTGTCTTGCAAACACAAACAATAAAAAAGAAAACAATGGATATGGATTAACACGATTCATTTTTATAAACGGCGGCTAGATGACAAAAAAAACTCGCGTGGTAAACCTGCGGACGACAGATTATCTGGCGATTATGCTATTAGAACTATTTAGTGAAAATTTTTCAAAATTAGTGGATTTTTAATTAAGATATTCAGTTCACCTTTGTTTTCCAAACATCGAAAATTTTTGACTATTAAAGCAACTTCCTGAAAAAAAAATATCTTATTTGGTTTTTAGTTGTACAAATTCAAATTTTGACTGAAAAGTTATACATTTGAAATTTTGAAGATTCTATCATAAATCTTTCGGTATTAATAGAAATTGAACGCGTGGAAGATTATTTGCGTTCATTATCCACGAGGACTACAAGAAAATATAAGATGGCTGCCAAAGAAACTAGTCCACGATGTCGGAGATGAATGCAAACGCGCTACACGGCACCATCAATTTTTGCGATTTTCCGGAAAATGAATTAAACTTTTGCATTAAATATCGAAGAATTTATTCTTCTGTCTTTCAAACTTAACGTATATAAATTTAGTGTTTTAGGTGTTATAAAATATCTTAGGGTATGAACTTATTTTTGACGTCGCTCGACAGCGAAAAATCAGCTAAATGCAGGATTGTTAAATTTTGGGCCCGGCCGGCTTTTTTCGCTGTCAAATTTTCGGCCCCCGACTCCGTTGTTTACGGCCGCACGGCCGAAGCGAGAATTCAAAAAAAAAAGCCGAAAGCCGGCCGGCCTGCTTTCGGCCCCGGCTTCAATTTACCAACCCTGGCTAAATGCAAAAAAAAATATAGAAAAGGCTTGATGCGCGGCGTACGCCTTTAACGTATCCTAAATGTAGGCCCGTAAATCTACACTTGCAGTTGTGCGCTGAGATCACTGCGGTTGTTTTTTGCGGTTTTGCCAATTTTCCACAGTACTTCGAAAATATCTCAATACGGTTTATTGTGTCATAAAATTGTGTTCAATTTTGACACTTTATAATTTTCATTAGACGTTCTATCGATAGTTTTTATACCGTGCTGTTTTTAGAATGGCCACTGAACAAAATCAGGTTACTGCACAGGATCAACTTCTCATCAATCAATTTGCTCGTCTATACCAAGAACAAACCGAATTGAAACGGGCAATTGAGGAAATCCAAAGCAATATTTCAAGCTTTGGGGAAGCCGAAGACGAAATTTTGCTTCTTGACACGAATGATGCGAGCTCTGTTCCTCTCCGGATTGGACAAACGTTTGTTCACTTTGATTCGGTGAGATTTTGTTTAGAAAAAGTGAACAAAAAAGTATTTTAGGATTCGTTAACTAATATTCTTGGAGACATGAAGACCGAATCAGAAGGCGAACTTGCGGAGAAGAAGGTTTGGAAATTTCATATATATTAGAAAAAATTTTTTTACCTACACTTTGAAAATATAATTTATTTCTTGTAATTTTTATGAAAAGCCGCTTCAATATAGTTTTTCAACAACGTCTTTATCATTTCATCTAATAATTTATACTATTTCCAAAGACGGGCCACTGTCAGATATTAAAAAAATTGTTAGGCCTAATACTGTTTTAATTGTTGACGCACAATTAACAAAATTTTTTATGCGCTTTTGATGTATACTATAGTTTTATTGCCGAGGACGGACGAATTTAGGGAGGCGTTACTTATTATTCAAATTTTGGTGCCATGGTCTTATAATCATTTTCTTTTGATCTAGTATGAAACGGATTGAAAAAGAAAAAAAAGATATCAAAGGCGCATGCAAAAATTGGTTGATTTCGCTCTAAAATCAAGATCATTCAAATTTGCCAAAATTCTTCGACAATGCATATGCTTGGTGCTCGTTCAAAATTTTCCCGTCCTGAAAGACATCTGTCTCACACAAACTTTAAAACTTTTAATCATATGTATAAATGCAGATCGCAAACAAAATTGATAGAAATTTCAACAAATTATTGAAAAAATGTGTGAATTCAGATGCTTTCACACAATTTGTTAAAACATTTGCAATGATGTTTTATTTTCATTTCCGCCCACACGAAATAAATTTTATCAATATAGCCATGGCCACGTTGCCATTCTATTTTTAAATTTGATTTGTTCAGAAGAAGCTCGATTCCATCAAAGAAGAGATGAACGAACTAAAGAAAATCCTATACGGAAAATTCGGAGATCGCATCAATTTGGAATCTGAGAGAGATGAATAATTGCGAATTGACTCTGCTTTCACGCCAGCTTTGCTTTCCATATATAACAAATAAACGTTTGGATTCTCCGTTAAAAATCCTACAAGCTCGAAGGTTTCACAACTCCAATCTCTTTGTTTTTTTTTTCTCTGCACATTTCCTCAACTCTTCTTATCAAGCATGAATTGAAAACCTTGCAAATGATAGGAAAACGTCGTACGATGCGATGGCCTTATGTTCGTTCGTAATGCGTTATTAGGTGACATTATAAAATGCCAATCGAATCTTAGTTTGTCTACTCCAAATTTTTCAATTTTCTTTTAATTTAAATTGTTTTTGAACATTACGAAACTAGTTTGTTGTTTATCAATTAGTGAATATTAGGTCCTCTATTGAAAACCATTAGCCAATTAAAATGTTCAATTTTTTTTAGATTAAACGCTTTTTTTTTCTTTAGATTAAACCAAATTTAATTGAAAATCGGTAGTTTTAAAGGATTAAAATGCTGATATTGACAACTTTTTTGTATCTGAACCTACTACTATAAATAGCTGACAAATTCATTTTGAGTAGTTCAATTAAAAATATGATGTTTCTAAAGAAGTGTTTACCCTCTTCCATGTTTTCGTTTTGATCACAAAGTTTTCCATTAAAAAATAGTGCTTAAAATTGCGAGATTTTTAAAATTGTTTGTCGCCAACACGGTTAGAACACACACACTTAAGTTCACCCGATTTGTCATCATTTCAACAACTTTTCATATAGTTTCTTTATGGAAATTCGGGATGAATAGTGAAGAAAAAACGCAATTTCTTTGTTTTTCGTGCACTTTCCGTACGATTAGCTGTTATTTGAAAAGAAAACGAACGTTTCGTTTAAAATGCGAGATGTATCCGGACAGAAACGGAAATTTCGCCCATTTATTTGCATTTGTGCCTATTTCATTGATCACACCTCAGCAAACCCTTTCACTTGTCGAAAAAGTCTGATTATGCAGTTTAACTATAACGGCTAGCCATATTTTGAATAAACTATTAAAATTATTTTTATTATTTTATTATTGTAACTCTGGCTAATCGCAATTTCTCGCTTCTGAGTATAGTGTAGCGTTGACCTCCATTATGTCATCAAACCTGATGAACCGGTAAAATTCCAAAGGTTTCTTTCGCGTTGCGAACAACACCAAGCTAATAATAATTCAATCATTTTTCCTCCCGCCTATTTGTTTTTGTTCATTTTTTTTCTCAATGGTGGTAAAATTACATACGTCCCGAGTATAAGAGACAGAGTAATTTGAGATGTGTCGCAGGCGTAAAAAGTGGCTGGAATTCTATGCCAACAAGTTGACAACCACCGAAATTTTGTTGCTAAAGTTTCATTTGAAAGTTGTTTCCAATTGACGTTTCCGAAATTATTCCTCCTTTTTGCCGCTTTGTCTCTGCTAATGAAATTTTGAAAATGAAAATCAATTCGCGTGAAAACTTTAGCGCGTGCTTTTCAGAGTCATGGAGCGCAGATACTCGTCTTCTGCGCCACTAACTAAGGAGCTGGTCGACCAGTTTCGCGAGTCGATGATTCGCGACCTCAAATTCGATCCGCCTTACGTTTTTGTCATTTTTGGAGCTTCGGTTGGTTGCGATTTCTTTCAAAATTTTTAAAAATCCGATTTCAGGGAGATCTTGCGAAGAAAAAGATCTACCCAACATTGTGGTGGCTTTTCCGAGACAATCTTCTTCCGGCCAACATCAAGTTTCTCGGATACGCCCGATCGGATTTGAATGTGGAAAAACTAAAAGCATCGTTCGAAAAGTTTTGCAAGGTGAAAGATTCGGAGCGCAATGGCTTTAATAAATTCATTGAGCATTGCTCATATGTTCAGGTACTCTAATTTGATCTTGGCAACATTTGTAATATTGGAATTAAATTTAGGGAAAATATGACACTTCAGAAGGCTATAAAAAGATTGAGGAATACATTGGAGAATTTCAAAAGGGAAGCAACAATCGTGAGAATATTGAAGTCTAAAATGAAAACATAAATTGTTTTTCGAATTACAGAACCAGTAAACCGCCTGTATTACCTCGCTCTCCCACCATCAGTTTTCAATGTTGTAACTAAGGAGTTGAAAGAAAACTGCATGGATCATGGGTAACGCGTGCTGAGAACTATTATGTTTCATCAAAATTTTCAGTGATTCTTGGACTCGAATTATCATCGAGAAGCCGTTTGGACATGATTTGGCTTCATCGTGTGAATTATCTAAACATTTGGCTCAACTGTTCAAAGAAGAGCAAATTTACCGCATCGACCATTATTTGGGAAAAGAAATGGTGCAGAATTTGATGGTCCTTAGGTAAAATCATTTAGAATATTCGATATTTCAAAAGATTTTAGATTCGGAAATCGAATTCTATCACCATCATGGAATCGCGATCATATTGCATCTGTCATGATCTCGTTCAAGGAAGATTTCGGAACTGGCGGTCGCGCTGGATATTTCGACAAAGCTGGAATCATCCGAGACGTCATGCAAAATCATTTGATGCAAATATTGACTCTCGTTGCCATGGAAAAGCCGGCTTCATTGAATGCTGAAGACATTCGCGATGAGAAAGTCAAGGTTCTCAAAGCTGCGAAAGTAGTTGAGCTAAAGGATTTGGTTATCGGACAATATGTCGCCAATCCCGATTGTTCTCGTACGTTTCTTGATTTTTATGAAATTCAAGTGAATTGGATTTTTTAAGATCCGGAAGCTGCTCAAGGCTATAAAGATGATGAAGCTATTCCAAAAGATTCGAAAACTCCGACATACGCATTGGCTGTTGTTCACATCAATAATGAGCGATGGGAAGGTGTTCCTTTCTTCTTGAGATGCGGAAAAGGTGTGCATCGATCAAATACTGACATAATTACATAGATTCTTTAGCTCTTAATGAAAAGAAAGCTGAAGTTCGGATACAATTCAAAGAAGTCAACGGTGATATTTATCCACCTGGTGAGCTCAAAAGGTACGCGATTTCTTCTCTTCTCCCATAAATAAGTCTGATTTAATTTTGTAGATCTGAGCTTGTCATGCGAGTTCAACCAAATGAAGCGGTTTACGTGAAACTGATGACCAAAAAACCAGGAATGGGTTTCGGTGTCGAAGAGACCGAACTCGATTTGACCTACAACAACCGGTACAAGGAAGTTCGTCTTCCGGACGCATACGAGCGTCTCTTCCTTGAAGTCTTTATGGGATCGCAGATTAACTTTGTGCGTACCGATGAGCTTGAATACGCCTGGAAGATTCTGGATCCAGTCCTTGCAGAAATTGATAATGGCAAAGTGAAACCAGTCGAGTATAAATTCGGAAGGTTAACTTGTTCCGATACTCAACGCAATAAAATGTTTTCAGCCGCGGACCCGATGAGGCTGATGAGCTTATGAAGAAGTATGGTTTCGTCTTCACAGGAACTTACAAATGGGTTGCCCCCAAACTTTAAATAATAGAATGGAATAGTTCGCTTTATAAATAAATACATATTTCATATATAATTTGTACTATTGTGTAAAATTTAAATCGATTACCACCATTGATCGTTTGGCGGGGGTATAGATTGTTGTTGTTGTTGTTGTTGAGCATCCAATTGACCATAATTAGGTAAACTAAGCGGCCTTTGCTGGCTGTCAGGACCATTATTCGCGGATACGAAGTAGTCAGCGCTATGATTGTGCGGTGATCGAGGAGTTGGTGTTATGAGAGCACCAGACATTGAAGGTTCGGCTTCGCGAAGGGGAACGTTCATCATTGACATGCAACCAGGAGAAAGAGGAGCATGTTGAATAGGTGGATTTGTAACGGAGAAAGAACGGGTTGGTGGTGAGAAACGGGTGGCATTCGTGTCTTCGAATTCGTTCGGACCACTTGGTGAATATGCCTTAACATAATTGCTCAGAATCCAAAATTTCAAGAAAAATGTCAAATTGTTACCCCAAAATCATTAGATTGTGTCCACCGTGATACGGATTCATCGATAGGAATCGGACGGAATTGAGAATCATTCGGAAGTATCCGGCTCGCATTGCTTTCAACAATACTCGTTGCCTGTGCCAGCATTCTTTGTCGTTTATACCGCCTTCGTTGAGCTTTTGATGTTGTTTGCCCGTTATGATGTTTCAATATGTGTTCCTAAACAGTTATTATAAAATAATTGACTAAAATGAAAAATAAAACTACTTTAAGTTTATCCCTTCGACTTGATGCATATTCACATGTGTCGCATTTAAATGGCTTGTCTTCCAGATGAATTCGTTCATGTCGAACAAGATGAGATTTCTCGATGAATCCACGGCCACAAATCTTTAATTACACTTTGAAAAAATACGAATATATCAATGGATACCTTGCACATATGAGCACGGACTGCCATATGTGTGCGAAGATGAGCAGCGAGTTGTGTTTTCTTATTCGTCGAATATTCACATCCAGCTAGAAAAGGGTTCAATTCGAAAGTTGAAGACAGAAATTGAAACTCACTAATATGGCAGAAGAATACATCTCCGGTATGTTGTCGCCTGTGCATCGCCAAAGAATTTGCCGTTTTTGTGGCGAATCCGCAATCTTCGCATATAAGACTCCTTCAAATGATGCGAATTTAACGATAATTTTGAAGACATGCATTATAAATTTGAGATTGGAAAAAAAGTAATACCTGTGATCGTTGTGAGTTGCGATGTGTTGATCCAACGCGGTATGTACATGAAAACCACGCCCACACTCTTCGCAATGCAATGGTCGATTATCAAGCACACTGTGCATTCTTTCATGGGCAAATAGTTGTGACCGCGTTCGACCCTTCCAAGCACATTCTCCACATTTGAAATATCGATTTTTTGCTGGAAATTTGGGATAATTACTGACTGATGGTGAAGATGAAAATAAACGAGCTTACTGTGTGTTAATCGATGAACTAGGTAATCTTGAATGGAACTCGGCGAACTATAAGAACAAGATTCGCATTGGTACGGGAGTTCGGTCTGAAATTTTCCAGAATTTCAACGAGTTTTTATTCAAGTTTTACCCAATGTTCCTGGCAATGCTGATAGAATTCTTTACTCCAATTCGTCTCAAATTCACAAAGATGGCATAAATAAAATGTGTTCCGATTGTGTGCGCGAGCCCGATGTTTTTCCAGCAACTGTAATGTTCACATTAATCATTATTTTTTCAAATAACATTTTCCAAACCGTTTCATTTTCTGTTACAAAACCACAATAAACACATACAAATCCACCATTATCAACTTGAATATCTTCACCATCAGAAACCTAAATGTCGTAATATTCAGATGCAATAAATAATAAAGGTTACGTACGTCATCTGGATCCAATAGATCAACAGGTCCATATGTATGAGCTCCTTCTAAAGCACTTGTCGCATATACGCCATCAATTTCATCGTCGTCAACCATAGGGATCACTACAAGTTCAGTTTTTGTTAAAAAAAAAAAGAATTTCAGCCTACTTTCATTTTCTTGAATCACATCTCTAGGTCTTCCATTTCGTTTTAATAGGAATCGTGGTTTCTTGAATCTCTTAACCAGCGCGGGTTGATGAATCTTCAATTTAAGAATTGGATTTCCATCGCTGTCTTGTTCAATCTGTAAAAAAATAATTTCGAAATTGAAGCAGACCAGGTTGAAGCATACAATTTGCGCTGTCGTCGGTTGTCCTTCAACGGGACATTCCATTTCTTCATCTTCCATCTCGTCGCTGGATCCTTCTTCAGTCAAGAAAATCATTGGATCATAAAGAATAGGGAGTTCGACGGATTGTCGCAATGTCGAAAATTGAGCCGCATATTTTTCGCCGAGCATATCGTTTTCATTCCTAAAATGGGGAATATCTAATTATTCCACTTGATCTATATAACTGATACATAAATAATCTGGAATTAAAACCGTTTTAACCGTCTAACATAATTGACCAAAAACAACTTACATCAAGTGAAGAATAAGATATCTGCTCGGTGGGCTTTTCGCAAGAAGCGGTGAATAATCCAACAAAAAATCAAGCGTTTCTTGCGATAATTCTCGAAAATTGACGCGTTCTACTAAATGGCGAAAAGATAGTTCCCGAGTGGATTGCTCTTCTCCGACCCAACGAACGATAAGTCTGCAAAACTCAATTTAATATCTACACTTTTTGCATCAAATCTTACTTTAAATAGGTATCTGCTGTTATAACATCAACATATTTCGGATCTTGTATTAGTTTGATGAGTTGAGGATAATTGTAAGTTCCAATATCCAAGGCCTCAAGGAGACATCTATTTACATTCACATCAAAATAATCTGATGCCGTCTGGAGATAATTATATATTTTTAATAAATAATTGAAACCATACCTTTAACAATGATGGTACATTGTACCGAGTGGCTAAATTTATTATCGCTAAACAGTTACCTGCGTCAAGGTATCTATCTAGATATTCTGTACAATATAATTTCAATTTGAATATCTGGAAAAAATAATAATTTAATATCAAAAATAAAATTTAAAAACTTACTAAAAAATTATTGGATAACCGTAAAAGTTCAGCAACATTGCTTTTATCAATGATAATCGATCCACTGTACATATAATTTAATAGAGATTCAAATATTACTGGATGCTCGCTGTTCACAGTAACCTAGAATGCATTTTCAATTTTTTTAATTGCAAATCTAAAACTTTACCTGTTCTTTTGTTATTTTAGAATATTTAAATATCGAATCAAAATATGGACTACACGATGCCAATATATTTCGATGTGCAGCAAATTGTCGTTCCTTGACGAATAGTGCAACATCACAAAATCGGCCCGTATCTCGTTGATACCGTAATCGTTCAAATACTAAAAAAATATATTTTTAAACGTATTTTGTTTTGTTTCCTAAAACTAAGAACTGACTCCAATGAATGCGGCATAATGCTACAATTTCCATTTTGTTTTTATGTCTAGTAAGAAAGAATTAAAGAAAGCAAAAAATTGTTTTTAATTTATTCAAGTTTGAATACAACTTTTTGCGAATTGTCTAAACAACTAACCTATACTTCCATGTTGATCTGAAAATGACATTGGATTAAGTGAAGCATTCTCGTTGGCCAATAATGCCATCTGAAAAATTTCATAATAGTAATTTTAAAGAATGTAAAAATGATTTTAAATTAAAAATAAAAATAGAATAATGTAAATTTGCGTTCATTTTTAACTATTTCTCTTTCAATACACCTTTTAGAAGAGCTCAAACTAGATTTTCTCTTCAGAAGGCGTTGTCTTTCCAAGGTTAGCAATAGAGCGCGGTTTCTACAGGACCACTTAGACATACTGGATAGGCGTTTCTCTACATATTTATGCCGGTGTGACATATAAAAATGAGGATTCAAATAATAAATTCTATTTTTGGGTGTAACTTTGCCAATTGTGAAAATTTTTTGAATTCTGTTTTCAAAATTGAATTCAGGGCTAAAAAATGCATATGTGTACCAATTTTCGTAATGAAAAAAAAATTGGCCGAGTGACGTTAAAAACACTGAAAATTTTTCACATGCATCCGTTTCACATTTATAAAGCCACCCCCGTGAACACAGTAAAAACTCTATTATAAAACCAGATAAACATTTGGTTGCGGTGTCTTTTAAAGAAATAACGTCGTAAATTCGATTTGGAATCGATTGGACCAAGTTTTCCATTTTTGGATGGTCTTGCTGTTGAATTCCTGCTCCAATAGATCCCACTCGTCGGTAATCGCAGCTTTAATCAATGAATATTGTTTTCCATGGCGATAGAAGCTGCGAACCAGCTCTCCTCAAACTTTCTAAATTGGATTTAAGTCTGGTGAGCACGCTGGCCATCTCAAAACGTCGATATTTTCTTTGCGGAGCCAATCCAAATTCTACCGACTCACATAAATTTCGGCATTGTCCTGTTGGAATACGAACTTTCTGCGCCGTCGAAATAATAATAGATGGTCCTTTAACACTTACTGATCCAATCCAGCGAGTTCATCCGACAATTGACAAACGCCAGCTTGAGAAATCGCGCCCAAAGAGAAAGCTCCCCAGACCATGAAGACTCCTGCCACCAAAATTCCGCTTTGAAAAAATTGGTTTGTCCTTCCGAAAATCGCGCCAATAACATTTATTTTCATCGGGACCATCAATGTTGAGCCATTTCTCATTCGAGAAAATGTTACCTTTGTCCAATCAGTTTCCATGTTGTCTCCCGCAAATGCGTGACGACGTAACTTGTGTTGATCCTGGAGACTCGGAGCTGGACGCATAACTGCCCGGATGATGTTGGGATCATTTTTAAGTTTTTTCCAAATCGTCGTCTTACTAACATCAGAATTCATCTCATTTTTGATGTCGTTGCATGACTTCATCGAGTTGTAAGCTACACGGATGATCGATCTTCCATCGCGGGAGTTCAGTTTCGCCTCCGAATTTTGTCGATCTTGTTGACAAAATTGTCAATGCAAGCTTTCGATCGCTTCAGGTGCGAAGAAATCCTTCGGTTCGACCATCCAGCGATTTTAAAAGAGTCGATGTTAGCTTTTTCGCCATCGTTGAGTTGAAAGTGACCAATTTTCAGTAATTTCAATATCATTTTTCCAATTTTCAGATATCATCATCATCAAAAAATGGGATGGCTTTATAAATGTGAAACGCACACGTAAATATTACCAAACCTACACCAATTCTCCTCTCAGTTTTAATATTAATTTAGTCGCGATTCTTTTCTCTAATTAATTGGTCGTGATAAATAACTCTTGGTTTTATATCCTCACTCGTATTTCTTTACTTGTGTTTTTTTTTTAGTAAAGGTACATTTAATTGATTTGTAGTTTTTAACCGTTATTTTCAAAACTTATAAAGATATAAAAACTACAAATATTTCCAGTTATCCTTTTATATCAATATCGTTAAATTAGAATAAGTAAAAGTGACCCTTTTGGTTTTCATCTATGTATCAAAGCAGAAATAAAAGGTTGATTAGAGGATTTTAAGTTCGACGTTCCCATTTATACACCAAATTTCAAAAAAATGTTTAATGGTTAATTTTGTCGTCATTTTCCACTGAAACACTGAAGTAGTAGTATATATTAAATGTATATATTTTACCTATTATTTACAATAGACCCGTATGAATAAAAATAATAAAATACTAAAAAAAATTGCAAGCAAAATTACGATTAAAAGAATATAAAACCAAGAGAACGACCAATTGATTACGAGTAGAGTAAGTAAAGTAATCGCGAACATTGGTTTTTCTTAACAGAAATTTTTCATTTTATTTTTTATTAAATAAATTGGTTGAAAACAAGTAAATTGCAATTTAGTAAGAGTCTAAACGAAAACTACACTCTTTCAGTGTGAGAACATTTATAGGTTCGAATATAATCGTTTCTGCAAGGAATCAAATTTTGGTAGACACTTCGCCCACCGTATTATCCATTTTGATTCATTTTTGGCAATTATTGAATAACACAAAAGTATCGATATGAAAATGATTTACACATATGTTAGTATTTTGTCTTTCCCATCAATGTACTCTTCCAAATATTGCCTGTCGTAAAACCAACGTCAGCAAGGTAATGAGGCACAGTATTACGATAGAATGGCGGCTTCTTTGAGTTCTTTTTTTTTCTCAATGACTCATATGAATGTGATTTTCGTAACATTGGCGATGAGAGCATGCTCACCGCCAAGAATGGACGAACGACTATGGGTACATGTTTGTAAAAAATAATACCAAATTAGCTATATGTGCGATTCATGTCGACCACGATCGACCTTGGTAAAGAAGAAAAATAATCGGCTTCCGGCTACTGCTGGATTTTTGAAGAGCAGCGACGTCTCACACGGACCTAGTGGTTACTATGCATTCTTAGGACATCGTAGATTTATCTCCAAGTAGTCGTCGAGGAATCGTCAATTTCTTCTTTAATTCGAATAAAATCTGGAACAAAAAAGGACAAATTTTTATTTCAGCGGAAAATCCTCGGAGAAAATCCTAATTTATTCAAATTGCGTTACTGGAAGATGTTGGTGGTTTTTTTAGAGACATGCATATTTTATTCTGTTAATGTCACCAAAAAAAGAATAAATCTTTGTTGGTTGATCATATGTTTGAATTTCAAGGCATTGATTGTACTGGTAAAGATTAGATTTGATCGGTGACAACTTTCAATATGGAAGATCATCGTATCACAAATACAAATAAATTTGTAGGCATCTATCCAAACCGTGATGTAGCGAGTTGCTGCTATGTCATGTGCGAATAAAACCGAAAAAATCCCAAATCAAAAAGGTTTCAGTCATTATTTGCAGTGTTGGGCAATTTGTCGAATTTTTCCAACAAATTATTTGTTTTCCAAAGCTCATGTTCTCATTGAATCTCCATTCTTCCGAGAAGCACATTTCATTAGGCAATTCGCTTTAACAATGAATGAACATTCGTAGTACCATAAATATAATCCATTCCCATTTTGCGGATTTGTTTTAATCTGGTTTCATTCGTCAAATCGATGTGGGAACCTCGAGAATCGCATCTTGATTCAGCTGTTTTCATTCATTTCCCATCATATCCGATTTGAATTTGTGTGCGTGTATATATTGCCCGTTCGCATCTCCCATATTTGTTGGCGTCTCATAAATTACGGATTGGTGAACCGGTCGCTTCCCAGAGCGCCAAAAAAAAACACGCCACCGACGGAGGAAGATGCCATAAAAACGAAGACGCTTGCATGTCCATCTGGCGCTCATAACTACAGCAATCACCATGCCGACAAAAAAAACGGCCGGAATGAACGAGCGACCCGACGACCGAAACGATAGATGGATGGGATTCGATGGACGTGAGGCAATGACGGCGAACATTGGAGGTGCAGGCAGTAGGTGCACACCACCAATCGGGCGCCATGGCTATGGGCGTGGCGCCACCAACACCCCCATAACGCACACACACTCACTCATATACACACCCCTCCCTCCCACGGGCCCGGGCGTTCCTCTTTTTCTCAGCTCGCCCATACCATTTCCATGTGCTATTTCATCGTTTAATTGGCGCGGCCGGGGGAAGACGGGTGTGGCGACTCAGCGCCATCCTTTGTCGACAAATGCATTCAGATGCTCTTTTGCTACGCACGACGGAACGGTGTTCCTCTTTTTTTATTCATATGTGCACTTTCTGTCTGAAGACCGCCGCCCAACCTACCATTCAATCTCTTCCAACGAATCTTATTCTTGGAATTGAATACTCATACTACTACTACTACTACTACCGCAGTAATATTCCTGTTGATTCTAACGATTAGTGCCGAAAATGATCTGATAACGAGTCTGAAACTGCTTAAAGAGATTTCGAATCGTTGCTCAGGTCATTTTCGTTTCCTAATCCTGTTTTGTAAAAAGTGTTTTACTTCTGAAGTAAAGAGGGTTTCTGTGAACGGCTTCAAATCCCTTTTAAGGGACATTTTTGGATGAATTTATCGTTGAGATCACTATGCCGCGAAATATTCTATTTAATTTCGATACTTTTCGAAATTCTCACACGTGAGGCTGAAATTCGAATGCACAATAATATCATTGAAAATTCACCTAAAAGTGCTTCTCATAAGAAGTAAAATCTCAATTGATCTGGGCCGCAGCTTTTCATATGTGAAAAGGGTAGTTTTGCAAAATGGCAGACAAATAAATTTGTCATTGAATGATGCATCAAACGACGAATAGCGGCAAAGTTCGCTGTTTGACATTTTCACACAGTTATTCTGATGCGAAATGTGATGTGTTTGACCCTTTGCAAGGGCCAGCAAAACTCTTTCGCCCGCACAATTTCGAATCTCGTTTGCTAATTAGAATTCGTTCGATATCGTCGGCCTGATTTCGCATCTCACTGAGCTACACATGTTTTAAAAATGGCTTTTAATGGTTGATGCGAATCTGCGAAATTTGAATTTCGGTGTCAGCCTTGGCAAGAATGCAAATTATGTAGCCTCCCCCGGCATAGATTAACAATAAAAGACAATATGTATTCATCTTTTAAATTGTTTTATCGACGGATTAAAACGATCGATTTAAATCAGAAAAAATTGATTTTGTGCGACTGCGTACTTTACTTTACATTTTATCGTAAACGCATTTAATACTCAGTCAACGTGTAAATTTACCCGCTCGTAAACATCCACTGATTTCACGAGACCAGCTTCTTTCAGACATTTGACATTGCACGTGAGCCGCAACGAACCTGACGAATTGGGTCTTGCAGCGACTAATTCTGGTGAATGCTTTTTTCCAGAAACGTGAATATAAGAATTTGTTTATTTTTCGGGACCAGCATTAAAATCCCGTTTGCGAAAAAATGAAAAAGTTTCTCTTGAATATGCTAACCCAACCATCAGATCGTGAATATTCGATTTTTTTTTCTAATACCAAATTTGACGAGAGGTCTGGGTGTACGTACTTATCCTTTCCGGAAGCACGTAAATCTACACTTGTAGTTTTGCACCAAGACATCTCCTATTGACATTTGACTTTTATCCTATTTTACCTTGAAAATCTTGTCGTCAAATAAAATGCAGAAGTCCGCAATGTCATTTTCAGGTTCATTTTGAAATTTAACGCCTTCTATGTGCGTCATTCATTACCTAACAGTCCCGAATACAAGAGAGAGAGAAATCGAAGGTCTGAGAGATAATTACAAATAGAAAATTGCTTTGGGATATCGAGATGAAGCTGAAAATGACATTGCGGACTTGTGCATTTTATTTGCCGAAAATGCATGTGTTTCTCCGCGACGAATTAACGTCGAGCTTGCGTGATTTTTTTTAATTTTTCCATTTCTTTTCCAGTTTCAATGATAATTTTGTATTCTAAAGGTTACCCCACCCATTAAAACAACTTTCATGATTTTAAATAAATCATTTTTGATTTTGAAATGAAAGAATTCTGAAAAATTTATGATGTGTCGCCCGCTGATTCAGTGAGCAATCCATCCATCGCGTCGAAACCAGGTGACAATTTGGCGACGTATAATTCCATAAAAAGCCGAATGATGAGTGAGGTTGAGTGCAAAAAAAGAAAGAGCGAAAGACCCATTCGTTTTTTTGTGTTCTGCTCGCAACGAACCACTCAATTTTCACATCAAACCGTCCATCGTTCAAGGTGACAACTGGGGAAAGCCTGGCGAATAAATTAGCAGGTCCAACTGGCCATTTCGCTGAAGATATGCAATTATCGGATCACAAGGCCAATTCAATGGGAATCGTTGGCGAAAAAAATGGCTGGTGGTGAAAAACAAGAAGAACCCAACGAATGGGAACCGATAAATTAGACGATTTATAACAAAAGCTATCGAATGAAAGAAAAATGATAAACCATAACTCTATCAGCAAGAATAACGATAATAATCGAAAAAAGCAAGAAAATCACAGAAAATTGAGCGATTTACGTTATCTGTGAATGGTGATTAATAAACAGGAAAAGAAATATTCAATCCATGACGACTATAAGAATATCAATAGAATAAATCTCCCGTATTAAGATGTAGTAATTAGAGGGACATTGCCTAAGTTTCTATTAGAAAAAAACATAATTATTAAAAAAGAACCAGAATCGACTAAGTTGGCAAACGGGGATATTTTCAAAGAATAAATATTTGAAGGGGGCAAAACGAAACACACAAAAATTCAATGAGGGCTCCATTTACTGTACACGAATCGGACGGAGGAATTTTTCAATGGATTTTACCGTAAGCAATTGGATTGTTTCACGTGTGATTGCAACATTAATGTGAATAGATCTCATTCAGACGGACACAATTTGGCATTGGCATTCGTTCGGCTTCCCGTAAAAGGGCTTCGTCGCGTAACCATCGGGCTCTATACAACTTTGTTTCTTCTGCAAACAAAACGTTCGAATGAATTTCAAGGTCTTTTTGGTATTGATATCGTCGTAATTGAAACAGATTTAAAGCTTTTCATAATGGGTCAATGCAGAGAAAAAACGAAAAACAAGATTTTATTTCTTTTTATAGAGAGAGAGAGAGCGCGCACAATCCAACAATCGACATCGACATTAATTTCATAGGAAAATTTGATTTAACACGAGTAAAATCCACAAAACATAGGTCTACAGGTCAATTCAACGTTATTTAGTATAAATAAAATTAGAAACGCAATAAAAGAATTGTACCCGTAAATCTACTAAATGAATACAACAGTCCCCGGGCGCCGACTACCACATATATTTGTTGTATGGATGGAACGAAGTAACTCAAAAACCACTAAGTTTAAAATTTTTACATTTGAATAAAAACAATTATACTTCGCTTTTTATTTTTTATTCTTATGGTAGTTGCGTGTCCCAATAACCCCAAAATGCACATCATTCAAAAAAAAACGACACATATTCTTTACGCCATGCTCAATGTAATGCTCAGATTTAATGGATATATGAAATATCGTCGTGGATGGAAGAGTTTGACAAATTTGAATTGAGCGAACTGAATTATAAATTGGTCGCGTAAAAAAAAAACGGGCTCACATCGTTCATCCATCTATTTTGTGAGAAACCAATTTATTTAAAACTAAAAATTGTCATTTCATAAGATAGACAACGCCAAAAATTTAACAAAATTAAACTAAATACAATTTTAATTTTTGAAGTGAAATCAACAAATTTGCGCATTCGCATTTTAAAATTTTTTTAATTCTATATTTAGTGGTTTGAATGCACAATTCTCAGGTAAATCAAATCAAATATTTTACGAATATATTATTAAATACTAAACTCTAAAATATAATGAAAGTATAACGTTTTTTTAAACTTCTTAAAACTTATTGAGACTCGAGGATCTTAAAAATGCTCTCTAAAATCATATATTCTAAATTCATTGCATTTTAAAATCTCATAATAATTTCGAAAGTTTTTTGAGAAAAAGCTGAAAAAAATATAGGGACAAGTTAGTTTCATTAAAAAAAATATTTCATTCGATTTGCCTGAGTTGAGACTTTTGCCACTGGAAGCACATTTCGAGAGCAAAATTGTCAGATTTTCAAATAAAATCCAGCAAAGTAATCTGAATTCTAATATTCAAAAATCTTTCTGAATCAAATTTTACAGGATAATATAAAATTATGCGCTCATATTAGGAATTGGTCGATAAACAGTTTATTTTATGCCAAACCCCAACATCTAATTATTCAAAAAATTATTTTTTTTGCTATGGAAATTTCAAATATTTAATTCGCAAAAAATAAACAATAAATTTGAATTACCGCCCGACACATTACGATATCCATAATTAGTCACGGTGCTCGTTTTTTTGCAACGATAATAACTATCACGAACCAATTTTTAATTAACAAAAGAATATGTGAATCATCAGCTTTTTGAATAAATTGCTGAGCAATTTTTTTTAATTTTGAGAGAAAAACAAAACTTACTCATATTCTGTTCTTTATAACAATTCATCCTTAGATTTTGTATATATTCTTCTTCCACTGTTTGTTCAACCTAAGAATTCAATTTTGGTTAAAAATTTGAAATTGATAATGAATTACCGATTTTACCCTTCCACGGTATGAACTTTCAAAGTCTGGCCGCACGAAATATGGGATTTTTAAATCAGCCGTTTGTCGCCGAACAGAATATTTTCTAAAAAAAATAAGAAAAATAAACAAGATAACAGAAGATACACTCACGATGTTTGGTGTAATGAAAACGCGGGATCTCCGACCATTAGTTGGGCTAATAAACCAAGTACCATGATAGCTATTAGCGGCAAAAGTTGAAGTAATGGCCCGTATGGGCTCTGAACACATCAAAGTGATACAAAACTAAAGAAAACAATAATAACATACTTGAGGCTCGAAATGTTGTTGTTGATGATGGTGATTAGTGTGACGTTCGCGATAACGACGTTGTCTTCCATCTGGCGGAAATCCACCGCCAAAGAACATGTTGAATATTTCCTCAGGGGTGTAATCAGCTGCAAAAATGGCATTTGCTAATCATGAATTTATTTCGCTTTTTCAGGCAAATGAAACTTGTCAGTTTCAAAATATTCCGCATTAGAGAGAAAACCGTAAAAAAGAGTATAGTCGGCGTCCGGCGAGTTCTGTACGCGGGTAAATTTACAGGCATGCGCCTTGAAAAGGTCTCGCAACGTGTGAACTCTTATTTCCTTGTTTTCATGTGAACGGTAAATTTTTTGGTGAGGCATTTTTTGAATTTCCAATGTCATTCGATTATAAAATTATCGAACCGACCAATAAAATGCAAAATAACCAGTTAGTCTGCGCAAGACCAAGACGCGTCAGCGTAAATCTACCCGCGTACAGCAGTCACGACGCCAACTACATATATGCGAAAAAAAAATGATAAATGAGATAACGAAAGTAATTTTCTTTTAAAAATTACGTACGCTCAAAGTTGGATTCATAGAAGGTGTTGTAGTGTCTTGAAGGCGTTGAATTTCCATTGGCTGTCACCGAATTTCCGAACTGGTCGTATTGTCTTCTCTTTTCAGAATCCGACAAAACAGCATATGCATTTCCCAGAGCTGAAAAAATCAAATAAAAATACAATGTTGAGCAGAGTAGATATTTCTCAAAGCGCTGATATTTCTCAAATAATGTCTTGAAGAATATCCGGGTTATTATTACTATTCATACCTTTAAAAGCTTCCGTTGCATGCGGAGCCTTGCATTTATCAGGATGCAATTTAAGAGCCATTTTGCGATATTCTTTTCTTATATCATCGTCGCTCGCTTTTCTTTCAACCTGCAGAATTGTACGGATATAGTAATCAATTATTTCAATTTTTCATGTAGTTTTCATGAAATTGATCAAATTATTAAATTGTTTGCTTTAAGAAATTGAAAATATCTATCAATTAAGTCAATAGATTACATTAATTGATTTCATTAACAAAACACGAGGGTGAATACATCTTATAATCACCCAATTAATCGAATTCGTGACAATTCATGCTAAAATAGTTAATAAACATAATAATACTCACAAAGCTCAATAAGAATTTTAAAATAATAAAAGTACGAATGTTTTATAGTGATATGTATTTTAATTTTTTTGAAGATCCACCAATTTAAAATTGTAAATAATAAAGTATTATTTGCAGTAAAATCCTTACCATTAAAATTTCGTAATAATCCTTGCAATGACGAATACGTTCAACAAGGTCGAGTTGCTGAAAATTTATATTTCAGTTATGTTTAAAATTTACAAAAAGTTTGAAACCTCTTTGGTATAGTCAACTCCCAATTTGGGAGTTCTTGAAGCGGATCGTTGTCTCGCTTGCTGCTCCTTTGACGTTGAACCATTTGGAACTGTTTTCTTAGGACTCCGATTTCGCCGTCTCAAATTTGGTTCATCGTAATGATCGTCATGAGCATAACTTCGCTCTTCAGATGCACGACTAGATGATTGAGAATTGTTGGCGGTCATTTCATCAATTTTCTTTGACAGGTCTTTAAATCATTAAAAAGTTCTTAATAATTAGATAAACCGCAACTCACAGTCAATATTTTGAGCAGGGTCGAGTTTCTTCGCTTTATTGAGAAATTTTCGAGCTTTATCACTGTCACCACACTAAAATAAAAACGTTATGGGGATAAATTCGTCGTGCGGAAAGACTTACCCTTATTGCTTCTCTCGCTTTGTCCATACAAAGCAGAGATTCGCTTTTATTCGCGTCTGCTGTCATCGTCCCAGTATAGTTACTGAAATAAAATATTTCTCAAACTAAAATCAAAACATCGAAAGGGGGAAACAACTGGTAGATAGTTTTTTTTAAATGATACCTTTCTGTTGTCGAAAATGGCGTTCAACGACTTTCAAATAACCTCGGTCTTACCTGAAAGAGATAAAAAATAGTAGAATATCAAAATAGGTTCAATATATAATATTGAGTTGAAAAGTTAAACTCATAAAGCCAAAAAATAAGTTCAGCAGAATGACGGGTCTCTTTAGTTATTGATCGTTGCTTAAAGTTGTCAATGGCGCGTCATTGCTTCCCTCAACTCGATTTTACTTTAAATTCAAACATTTTTTGTTTTTAACAGTTCTCTCTCTCGATTTCTTGAAATTTCTGTTAGAAAAACGTATTAAATATTTGAAATAAAATTATTATAATTTTACCGCTTGGTTTTTTTTCTGTTTCACGTTGTCACGATCATTTTCGCGTAAAAACGTATTTATTTTCGCAAACGGAGTATAGTATTTGGACCAAGTTTGAGCACTTTTAATTATAACAAATAAAAATGTGTTTTATTAAAACCATTTATAAATATGTACTTTCGCAATAACAACAAAAGTTGTAAATCGATTTATAGTTTTCAAAAATAAACAATATCTTGAATAGTGTAACATATTTGCAATCCTGAGCTAATGCCACCGCCAACCAATTTTTTCTATTAAATTATAATTAATATTTCTACAAATAAAAAACGGAATGCATAAAATCAATCTAATGGAAACAATTTTTAGGTGTCATAGTTATGAAACGGATATGGAATAAAATCGGATCAACTGCAAAAAGCGGAGCGTTTTTGAAAAAAGCGATTAATCATGTAGCCGAAGTTGAGAAAGGAGATATTAAGGTTTTTTTTAAAAGAGAATATATTACCTTTTTTTTTAATGAAAACTTAACCTTAAAAAAATTGCGTTTTTAAAAGTTAACTTCAATGTTTGAAAAACTACTATTGTTTTTAGGTAGTTCCTCCAAAATACCCAACCGAGAGAAAACATGAAGCGGATGAAGTGGCAAAAAAGGAGATTTTCTCCAAAAACGAGAGACTCGTGGAAAATATGAATAAAATGAAAATTACGTCAACAGATCCAGTCGAGAGATGGACATCGACCAAGTAGGAACATAATTTATTGTGAAATTGTTTTGCTGATTTTTTTTTACAGAGATTTACCAACTAGGGAATCTGAATTTCTTCATAGAAATGATCCAATTTGGGAGTATGGATTTTATGAGCCATCACCAGAACGTATCCCAAAGAATAAGCTTATGTTCAGGGAGGCTCTTGAATTCATGAGACTCCGACAACAGATCGAAGGAAGCCAAAACCCGAAACAGAAAATAGAAGCTACTGAAGCTTTAAAGAAACATTCAGCTCCATCTCGAGTAGACGCTGAGCTACTTGAAGACATTTACGAGTATTTTCGACCATTCGAACGAAAAGATCTACAGAAAGTTGTCAATCGAAGGGAATTAGCTGCTCTTCAAGATCACCTTCAAAATAATTCCGATCAACGAATGTTGTATGAGGAAGCTGGTCGCCTAAAAGACACACTGAGTGTTAATGCCAAATTTCTTAACGAATATCGTAATTTGGATGACACAGAAAAAGAAAAAGTGCGTGAGGCAATTATGAAGTTGCGACAAGAAGAACACGAGCGTCTCGGCAAACGTCTGGCTGAAATTGAACTGGTAATAATCTTATTTCGGAAATCTTGAAGAATGATATATTTTCAGACAGAGAAAGAGTCTGCAGAAGCAATACGGACAAAGCGAGCTGAGCAGAGTTCGAAATCAGACGAAAAGTCTTAGATTTTTAAATTTAGAATAGAATAGAAATTTAGGAGAATAGTCCAGTTATATTTTAATAATTCGGGTAATTGTTTCTCTAATAAAATTTATATGATTCAATGCTCGTTTCCGTTTCTGAAAGTGTAGGAAATTTTTATGCATTATGGGAATGAGCAGAACATTTTTGGAAGAAGCTCTCGGAATCACCAAAACTTGAAAAATGCTTCCACATTTTTAGTTTCAATTACATTCGAAAAAACGAGCTTTTTACAATGCGTCAGCTTCGCAGGTTATCCAGAATCGAATTTGAATTACCATTTCGAAACATTACATAAGGCGCTCGTTTTTTTTTGCGGTGGTAAAAATTGTTCAATCGAACTCATATTTCAAATTTATTTATTCTTACAATATCGGAAATGAGCAATTGTTGCCGTTTGATTCGAATTCCGCGTTATATGATGAAGTTCGCGAAGATGTTTTGGATAATCGTTGACTGTGGCACGCAGGTGCAACTAATAACACCGACTTACTCGTCAAGCACATTCAATGAATCCCAAATTTCAATTTATTTTCTGACAGCAAGCTTCGATGAGTATTCTGATTCTCTCTTGGACGAACTAAATGTTCCAAAAAGTCGCCACAGTAGTTTTCCTCCCTCTGTCTGCATGGTTATTAGTTGAACAACGATTGTTAAAATAAATCGCTCGGAAAAATGATACATAATAACTGGATGAGGTGGACACAACATCGATAATTGAAGACCAGTGTACATTTTGCTAAAGCCAAACCAAATATAAATAATTATAAAACTTCAATAAAAAAAAACACAATACAAGCAAATCAAAAAGTATTTTGTGGTTATTTGAATGCCTACTATGAAATTTTTCTCATAAAATTTCATGCCGTTTGAATCGGTGAGAATAATACAAATTTACTTTTTGGTGCAAAATATTCAGCGAGAATTTGACCTACCCCCCCCCCCAATTTGTACGGGATAAATGAAGACAAGCTTCTCCACAGATTGCCGAGTTTTCGTTTATTTAGCACGTAAATCTAAAAAGCAGTTTTTCTAAAAAAATTTCGCCTATTTTTTGGCATTTAATCTTTTTCTCTGCTGTCGCACAACGCCGGTAATAAATTTTTAAAGTCTCATTATGATTTATGAAATATTAAATAATTTACCATTTCTTAATATTGTAAAATTATTCGAATCTCAAAGAATCTATTTAATTTGACAGACGGTAAGTATTTCATTTTTTTTAATTCGCTGAAAAGTCGTGAAAAGTGGCGAAATTTTAATCCGGATAATTTTTTGTTTCAGTTTCAAATCGTTTCGAATAAATTGGTTGTTTTCAATGATTTCTAATTGAATTTCCGCAATATTCAAATCAAAGTCAACCGACATGAAAATCACCTTGATCATTACCGATATGCATTCGTGAGAAGGCAAACATTCGATGTCATATAGAATGGCAATACGAAGAGGGTCGGAAACGAACGAGGCTCATGCAAATGCGCTGCACAAACAAACACGATTGGTGACAAACAGTTTTTATGATAGCTCTGTATGAATGTGTGTGTATGTCGGATGAGATGGTGATCAGTGCGTCATGTTTTCCAATTATTCGAGCTATTCATACTAAATATTCTCGAATTGGGTCTTTTCATTTCAAAATCCCTCTTGTCCACATTTCTGGATAAATTTCAAATTTCAACGAGGGAATTGATACAGTTGTCGTTTAAAGAATATTGTCATCCCATGTCTCTTCGATTCTATATCGTGAAAATGAATTCGTCATGTCTATCCTTGGTGTACTCATTATGATTTATTGGATGAATGAAATGTTATCCTAATAATAAATTTTAAGGCAATTGTTGGTGTTTTATGCAATCGCGAGACATTTCATGCGAAATGTCATATTTCAGAGACGATTGGAAATTATGCGAAAACTTCCAAAACAACCTTCAACTATAGGTTCGCGCATTAATATGACATTATTTGAACAAGCTTCGCTGGATGCGACTGACTTGATGCCAGTCGCTCCGTTTACAGTATCCGCTCGACGCAGACATTACCAGGATGCATTATTTGCTCGTCCAGAGGTTTCCACTTCGTCGCCGCCCGTCGTAGCGTGTATTTTATCAGTTTTGTTAGTAAACGCCCTCATGGGCATACAAAAATCGATTGGCTGTACGAATAAATATGGTGTGAATGTTGCCCACCGCACACATATTTTTTCCTTATGATTCATCGTGTTCTTCGGCGACCGTCCTTATTTTTTGCCTTCCTTTTGTTGCTTCGTACAGTTTTGAAACGAAGTTTTTAGTTGCTCAACATCAAGTTTACGATAAATTTTTGAATAAACTCATTCAATTCCAAATTAAAAATGTTTCTTTTTGAAATTATACTAGAAACTAATTCTTTCCAATTTTTTTTTCGCTGCAAAATTCGATTAAACAATATATTTCATCTGATGGAGTATAACGGACAAATATTTGAATCTCACTTGATTGTGAACTTCGAATTGTTATATTCTCGTTTTATTTTTTTACTATATGTGGTTTAATGCATTATTTTCAGATCATAATTTTGGTATCTTCTCCAAATATTTGCTAATCATTATATTTTGATTTTCCTATTTTATTTTTTGTTCAATGCGCTCATTCCTAATTATTAATAAATAATATAGGGTGACTTCTCGTGACATCAATTCATAATTGATTTCGTTTTGAATACGACCGAGATTGCTTTACAAGGTGCTGCCTTTCAATAGCTATTGCAGAATTATTTTTTGAATTCAATTTGTCTAAATTCTCTTTAAGAAAGAAATGCATCAAATACGCCATCATTTTTTTTTGAATTTAATAATAAACTAAATGTTGCATATTTTTAAAAATTAATAATTGAAAAGAACTCTTGAAACAGCGATCTTCGCGATTTCCGCGCATGCTCCAATTGTTTGTTTTTGTTTGCTCGTTCGTTCATTTATGCATATTTCCATTTTTGAAGTTTGCTCTGACTCACTTCTCACTATGAATCATCAAAATGTAGGCGGAGACGAACTGATAAGGTAACAACTCAAAGTTTTGAAATAAGTTTTGAAGGCGAAGAGGTTGACGATCCATTCTTGAGACTTCATTTCCGTCCTCGTTGCATATCAATTTTCATTCAGGCCTTGTTTTGTTTGTCTGCCATTCGCCTCGTCAGATCGAGCTCAGAGTTCAGTGTATCCTGTTTTTCTTTCACCGATTTTAATATTATGTAGACAGCTTTGAAGTTTGAGTTTTTTCTTGTCTATTTGCCAACCTACTTTTACCGAAGAAGTTTGTTTGAGCTCGTGTTTGTTACTTCATCATTTTTTCGCTGCCGACTTTTTTTTCTCGCGTCGTTTCAAAATGCCCCGCTTGCCCTTCTTCTCTCGTCTTCAATCGCTCGTCGATTTTTACGACCACAATCCACAATTCCATTGGCGATTTTGATATTTGCCTTGTTTGCTTTTGTATGAATTTTCAATGTTCGACGTGTACTACTATTGGACTCTTATCGATGATTGACTCGTCTCGACAAAGTGTTCAATTTCCAGGTGTCATGGGGCATCTCAACGTCGTTGCCCAAGGCCTTCTACTATTATTAATACCTCTACAGGCCCAGATTCAACAGCCAGTCTCATCGAATATCAACCAAAATGTTGGGCAGCCAGATGCGGGTACTCTATTTTCGGGCACCGGTACCAATATGTACTATGGTGTTAATCTGGTCCCGTTTGGTCCCGAAGTTGGTGATCATGAAGTAAATCCTGGACTTCTTACTGCTGGTCAAACCATTGATCTTCATATGTATTTCCCATTTTATGGTGGTCTTTACAATTACACGACGGTTTGTAATTTATCGTTTCTTGAAATATTATTAAATCGAACTGTTTTCAGCTTTCTGTAAACGGATATCTTGGATTCGCAACGGTCCTTGATCAAGGTCCAACGATCAACGTTGGTCCTGACATGACCGACTGGCCTCGCCACGAAGATCCAGCCATGATTGCACCGTATCTTTGTAAGCAGCAGATCCCACAGACAATGAATCCTGGAATGCGATCTGGTGTCTTCTATCGTCTGATGATGCGTCAATCGCTATTCGGAAGGAATTCTGGTAGCAACACGAATCTCGGAGGAGCCACCTATCAGTCATCATTCTTTGGTCAATCAGCTGCTCAAGCCTGCCCAGGAACCCCAGATTCTTATGTCCGATGTGATTCGCAAGCTGACTATTTCCTCGAAGAAATGCAGCGATGGTTGATTGAAGGAGTCGCCGGAGCAGCGGCGTTCCGAGCTGACGCAGCTCTCATTGTCACCTGGTACAACACAGCCTCAGCAATTTCCGGACGATCCGATATCGACGCTGGCCAATTGGCGACGTATCAAGTCATTTGGCTGACCGATAGAGTACGTGTGTATCATTAATCGAAGGGTCTCCTCAGGGCTCTTTTGATAACAAAATGGTTTGAATGGTTTGTGATACGGGGTCTGAACAAACAAATAATTCTAAATTTGGGCAATGCTAATAAAACAGAAAAGAATCGAAATATAATTGGGGTCAGCGTGAAATTAAAAAAGTCATCAATCATTGATTTTTTCAGACGGCACGACTTTCCTACGTGATCCTGAACTACGATAAACTCGGATTCGACGCTGCCGACTTCCGAGCAAACTCAAGATCCGGAAGATGTCAGGTCCGGCCTTTTTTTTTTAATTATATTTAGTACTCGTATATAGTGGAGACAGCGCAAAAAATATTCGACATACGTTTGTTTGCCGAATGAGTCACCACGAGAAACTAGCCGCAGTGTCGCATGTTGACACACAAAATACATTTCTTCAATTTCAGGCGGTCTTCAATGGAGGTAATCATACGGGTCTCGTGCCAGTTGATCCAACACAAGATTACAAGAATACGCCAAAAGTGTTGGCGCAAAGGTCCGGAGTACCACAGATGGTCCGCGGACGATACATGTTCAGAGTGGACGATGTTGTCAGACCAGGAGGATGCAGCAACAAAACGGGAGGCACATGTACGTGTGTTTAAAACATTTTGAGAAATTGCGCAATATGTGGTGTTGTCTGTGTCAAACGACTGAACGAAATTGAAAAAAAAAATGGCTACGTGCCAAGTGTCTTGAGACACAGAGAAATTTACAAATTCGTAGATATGCACTGATTTTGCGAAATTGAATCCACCGATTAGTCATTAAGAAACGGAAGTTGACAATTGTGCAAATCAACATTTCAGATCCAATGCTCATCTATCCGAACATCGTGAACATGCTTGGTGAGATGACTGTCGACGTAAACGCGATTTGTCTCGACAAATCTCAAACCTACATTCTCATGATTGAACAACGTCAGACGGCGACATGCACTGTTCTGACACCAGCAATCGCTCGCTGCAATCTGCCGAAAATCTACGATTGGGGAACGAAGACGGTCTACTTCCAACCACAAAGCGGTGGAGCCAATGATGAAAAGGCTTTCGTCGGATATATCTATTTTGTGCCTCCAACACTGGATCCAATGAGATTGGATATTGGAAATGTTTATGATTGGTTCAAGAACCCTCTTCCTTATCAGGTAAATTTTGTTATTAGAAAAAAAAATGAAATTTTCTTCAGACTATGCCGCTGACATGGTATCCAAGGAATTTCACAAATCCCGAAATGAGTCAGCACATGGATCAAGTCCGAATGAACGACGATTCGCTATACAGTGTTCAGCTTGGATTGTACGTGGTCGCTTACAGAGAATACAAAGATGATAACGTAACAACGCTAGTTCTGAAGCCATTCTAATGATGCCTTTGTAGATCAAAAAATTCCGACCGGAGCACCGGGTGATTTGCCGTCTCGCCACATATTCCAATCGGAATACTTACGAATATCGTTGGAAGCCTCAAGAAGAGCGAATCAATCTCTATCAAGTCGAACAATGGTATATGACGGATTGGGAGAGAATGCACGAACTCTATCAATATCGCTTCGGATATCTCAAATTGGCTCCACTTCGTGCCAATCAAGAGCAAAACCCGCAATTCCTGCTCTCCGGACTTGTGTCAGCTCCAATCTCGCTCCACTTCCTTTGGACTTCGAATAATCCGAAGTTCGCCACCACCACCTACTCGCAAAACGACGAATCCGCACGAGTGGAATACGTGAAGAAGAAATCGCTCGAAATGTGTCACGATTGGTACGACGAGGACGGCGCTCAATGGAATTTCATCAGAGATGTTGAGACGAACTCGTCTTGTCCATGCATCGAGAGACAAGCCATCGCCGATATTGGAAGATTCATGCCGCATCCGAGATGCTCTCAGGCATTCCGGGATATCACGTGCACAACCTCGATAGGCTCTAGGAATTGTTACATGTCGTCGCAGAACATTCTCACGAGTTATGCCGGCGATGGAAGGATGTTCACTTCGGACAACACTGCGTAAGTCACATGGAAATTCTCTTGCGTTTTGTACTATGTTGCATGCGATGTGTCACTTTCCTTCCTGAGTTGTTTCATTTTAAAACACGCACCTTTCCAGGTACAACCAACAAGACTACGACAAGATTAGACCTGGAGATTTCAGAAGATTCCCAACTCACTATGGCCAAGTGTGCTGTTATGACGATCAAGGGCATTTGATGCAAACGAGTTACCAGCCGATCATCAAGGTTACTCCCGATGTACCCTACAATCCCGGGTTCCCAATGCGAGCCTATGAATTCGGAACAACACCGTACATGGGACAATACGAAGTGCCCGGTTTATCAGCTTTCCACAACGATTATATGCCGTACTTCCTTTGCTGCAAATTTGCCGATTTCCGATGCCAAATGTTCTATTGGAGACGTCCGTCGTCCGGATGTCAGGAATATCAGCCCCCGGCATACGGTAACGACGCATTCAAATATTAGCAAATGAGTATTTCTATTCAGGAGAGGTTATGGGTGCTGGAACATTCAACACAATCGACAACGACAAGTTTGTTTTCAATGAGCCCGGAGTTTACAACGGATTGTATATTCCGAAGACGTTCAGCACACCCGAAGTGAAGGTGCAGATCAGAATGGAACGCTATCCGGACAGAAGGGTCGACTTCAGTTTGCTTGGTCGGTACATGTCTCAACAGGATCTTGTGCGACCGACAAATGCGACTGTCGTCACAGGAGTCGTGCTTGAAGCGACTGGAACTGACCGAGTTCACGTTCTCGCGAGAAAAGATACTAGACGATTCCGTTATCGTACTTCAATCATTGTGGGAAACATCTTGAGATATTTCGATACAATGAGAATTCAACGGTTCAAAGGAGTTTTGATCTACGTGAACAACGTCGAGCGTGGACAACCGGAGATTTACGTGGTCCTCGAAGAAGCACAAGTCGGAATCCGCGTACGCGAAAGTTATGCGATTGATATTGATCGATTGACGGAATACCAAGAAAGTATGGGAATGCTGAACGTCGCCATTTCGGTTCCTCCTCAATATGGAGTCCGACCAGATGGTGATAAGACAAGAGAACAAGAAATTCGACAGCGCTACAATCTTCCGCGTGTTTCTGGAGTTTTCCGTCCATTCCCAGACCAATCTTCTGGATCATACCTTCAAACATTGACATTGAACGATGTGAACTCGGAGACCTACAGACAGCAGATTATCAATATGTGTAATTCAGCAAACAATTATATTTAGAATTTCAATTGTCAAAATTTCAGACAGAGTGCAAGGTTCTGGCGAACCTGGATCCGATCAAAACATCAATGCTCAAGGAAACAATTATGGAATGCCAACGGAGAACATGTTCACAACGAGCCGTGACGAAGACAAGAAGTTCGAAGTGTTCCCGGAAGCAACAATGAAGAGTGGACCGATTTATAAAGTTGCTCCAAAATATGAAACGTGAGAAAATTGGAGGTTTTTGCTTTTTGAAGAAAAGTGCTAATATTTAGTGGAGCATATCGATTCTATCCGGTTACTGGACAGGTTCTCAATCAACGTCTCCAACAGTGCCGAGACCTTCAACAATCCAATACAAGTAGCGTTTCGTTTCATTAATGATTGATTAAATGCCAGTTATTGTTCAGTCAATCTTCAACCACTCCAGTCGCAAATCACTTCTGATTATGGCCAGACACAATGTCCGGACAATCCGGGAGCTGTCATTCAGGAATGCGGAGATTCTGTCCCATGCTTGTATGATTACACTCTTCTCAATGCGAAAATTCTTGGGGCGAATGTCAAGAACGAATGGAGTGTGTTTAGTTTGGACCGATTCGATGCTTCAAGACAATGTAATTAATCGTATTTTCATCAGCGATGTTCGAAAATTGTTTTCAGACAACAGTTGCGGAGTCATCAACATCGAATACCCTGAATATCTCATGAAGACTTCTTCAATGTCATCTGCTTACATGCAAGGTGACGTTGCGCGATTTGAGTGCTTCCAATCTCATTGGATCAAGGGAGTCCATGAATATCGATGCGGAATCATCGTTGACAGAAATAATCCGAACAATTGGAGATATGAATGGAACAAAGGAGAGCAGCCGTGGTGTCGTTCGAGAGAAAAGGAGAACTTCCTGATCTGGCTCTCTGCATTATCGGGTATCTTCGGAATCATTCTCGTTATTGTATTACTGTTCCTTTGCTGTTGGATGGTGAAACAGAAGAAGCGAGCAGAATATGATCAAGGAACTGAAATGAAGAGCAGAAGCACACCGAGCCATGGAAAACATCCATTGGTAAAATTCTGGCTGAAAACCATTTTAAATGTAGCATTTTAGTCTGAATCTGAACCACTCAATGACAGGAGATTCGACCCATTCCCGGACGACTTCTATCCGCCAGCTCGTGAAGAGAAATACGCAAATTCCGAAGATTTCCATGGTCTTAAAACATCTGTATAAATGCAATTCCGTAAATCAATACCTTTCCGTGGTCTCATTCCGAATTTCTGCCATCGTCCCTCAATTGTTTCTTTTCCTTTGTTTTCTTTTTATCCATGACTGATGATTGTTCATAGAACCATTTTTATTTATTTCGCATTTTATTTTATTAAAATTTATCGATATAATTACATAAATATTACAAAATTATGCATTAGTGATTAACAAATACATATATCACATCTTATGGCTGTGATAAAATTGAAGTTGGCAAAAAGAAAAATGATTGAACTTAAATATTGCGACATTTGAAACGATGTAAAAGAAAAATTATTCACAATCTAGATACAAAATTGAAACAGAGAAATAACAGAATTTTGACTAAACTGCTTTAAACTATAATACATAAAAACTGAAGAAAAATTGAGAAAAGAAACGATAAATTCATGAACAATAGAAAAGATTTTGAGGATTTTCAAAAAAACAACTATTAAGTCTGCAATAATCTTACGAAAATTTGCAGACTTTAACCCAGCGATTCGATCGGGATAAAGAGAGAGCTGACAATTTTTGTTCTTAGATAAAAATTTGGCGACAAACAGGCAAAAAATTGAATTAGTCGAAACATCGACACTGTTTATACCAAAAACCATCCGCGATTTCTCATTTATGAATAGCTGAGAATTTCAAAAATTGATTCTGTCATATTTTTTGATTTTGAAATTTTGTTCAAGCGGTGATTTTCTTTTCTTAGAATTGGCTCCCAGAATGCTCAGGGAAAAATTGAGCAACAATATCTTTGTTAAATATTGGCGTCAGCCGGATTCCATCAGCCCAATCATTCGCAAGAGGCTTGTTCATAATACTCGGATCATCCATCATTCCGGGCGGACAAAGAATCTCCTCAATCGATTTTGTCATAGCAAGAGGTATTTTTGGAAACGTGAGATTCGATGGACGATATTCATCGAATCCATTTGATTGACTACTCGGAATTGGATATTCCATTCCCGATGGTTGAGGAATATTTGAGGAATAGTTGGAGGAATGCGGAGAAAGCGAAGGTGGAGAGAAATGGAAAAGATTAGAGGGGGTTTGGAATGCAGTGGACGTCGATGGCATCTGCTCAGGTGCGACATTCGAAATCCTGCGACATGTCACGAGTAGATCGGATACTTCCGGATTTATCAAATCGACCATTATCGCATAGAACGCCACCGATTTCGGCTCATCCCGTTTGAAATGCGGCTCGAGCTCTTTGCGAAGACATTGCGAAAACGACTACAAGTCTAGTATACAGTAGGAAGGTACAGTAGGAAATAAATGCTACCTTCGATATATAAATAAAATGAAGCATGTTTGACAAATAGTTGGCAGCGTACACTGAAGTCTTTCCTCGGTTGTATTTGGCGACTTTGAACAGCAACTCGGAAAGAGTTTCGCGTGCCAAACTAAGAGTTTCATTCAACGAATTCGACAGCACAGTACTTTCTAGAAATCATCGACTAATATCCAGTAATTAGTTGATATTAAACCTGCACAGCTTACAATATACGCTTTCAGAATCGAATATTCAACGATGGACGGCGATTTTCGCCGAAACACTTCACAAATATCGACAAGTTTTGAATTGATTGAAGTCGTGCATCTGAATCAGAATGAATTTTGAAGTGAGTGGCATGTCTGAGAGATTTCTACATTGGGAGGTGTTGAAATGTTTGTCTAAATTCATCAAGCCCATTTGGACCTTTTGCCACATGCTTCGCTGTGGATTCAAGAATCAGAAGATGAATCATTGTATCACTTATCAGGGAACTCTGAAATATTATTTTAATGATGGAAAATAAATAAAAGGATCTCACCTTGTCTTCAATACTGAATTTCTTATCATGCTCTTGTTCTAGTAAATGAACGAATCCATCGACGTAATCGACCATTTGAACAATCCGCTCGATGCCCATAAATTCATCGGTTCTTGTCGCGATGCTCGCATGCTCGGAAATATTCGATTTTCTTGCCAATGTTCGATCGGCAATCAGCGATTTCAATGAGAAATTGGCGATTCCGTCGAAGTTCGGATGTTGCGTTTCATTGTCGAGTCGCGCGAGATCCGACAGAATTTTTCGATGGGATTGCGAAAGGGAAGATGTCCAATCATTGGTATCAGCGAATCGATTCGAAGCACATCTCGAAAGGCTCTTCTTCTTTGCAAACGGGTGATGCTTGGCTTTCTTGATTTCCTCGCGATCGGGTCGAACAAAATCTGGATTCATTCCAACAAGAAGACACTTCCGGAAGCGGCAATATCGGCAAGCATTTCGTTCAACTGCAAAATTTTCAAAAATTCGAGAAATTCAATTGATTTCTATTAACTAATTTTCTTTTTCAAAAAAAAAGTATTCGGAATGTCAAGAAATGAAAAGGAGAATTGCTCTGGAGACTTACATTTGGTTACTTCGCAATTTTTCTCGAACCTACAAACATATTTGTTTCTGCCGTCTTTGACGGCCCTTCTGAAGAATCCTTTACATCCGAAACACGCGAGGACACCATAGTGAATCTGAAGAAAGAACAAAAATGATTTGATTATCGAAATAATCGAAATTAGGTACCTTGGCCGGCGTGTCTCCACACACTGCACATACTCGATTATTGATCGAATGCATTCAAATCATCTATTTATCGAGCTATCTGGAGTTGTACGAGAATTTACGAGAATCAATATACAAGGGGGGCGCGACGAAAACGGTTTTTGAATGGACTCTTGTGCAAACTTCTTGGAGCACCAGGATAAGAAAAAAGACGAAACGATTGGATGTTGAAAACTGGATTTAAATGGAGTCGAGGAATACTAGATTTGCTGAAAATAATTCATATTGAACACCATTAAGCTTCAACGAAATGCTGTTTGAACAAAAATGAGTTTTTGTCAAATTGAAATGACAATGAAATATCGGCAAAACTGGTACCGGTCATAAAATCAAAAGAATAAATCCCAAAATCGGTTCGGCATGAAAATTTTGAACTTCGAAATACCAAAACGTTTATGATGCAATTATACACTTTGTTCATTTGTTTCTGGATTTTTTTTTGTAATTTTTTTATTAAATAAAAATTATTCGAAATGAAAATAATATTCAGAAAGAGATTGTGGTCAATTACTACTATACTGTTAAATAAATAAATAATTTTTAGAAAAATAATAAATTACGTATGGGTGAATTAAATGTTTCACAAACATTAATTCTTATTTAAAATTTTACACAAAAAATATCTGATATGAATAATTTTTTCACAGAATATTCGTGATAGACGTTATTATGCATAAACGCGCAGACAATTTTTACTGAAATAAAAAAAAAGGAATTGGGAAAATGATACGTAATGTTTGCTTGTAATTATGTATTGAATTTGGCGTGACAAAGTGTATTGTATTACGAAAAGGCGTTGGCTGAAATTTCTCGCGATATTTTCAACAAAACAATTTCAGACGGTTCAGAATTTTTATTTATAATATAATTTACAATTGCGATTATTTTCACTAATCATCGACGGCAATTGAAAGGGGCAATTTCTGAAAATGAATAGAACCAAGAAATGAGCAAACATTCTAAAAAGGAATCCGAAAAAAAACACGCACACAGTTTCTCGGACAAAATCGATAAAGTTGGTTTCGGAGCGAGTTGACACAAACAAAAAAAAACGACAATTATTTGAAATTGAGAGAACAAAATAGAAAAATGCGAATGGTATTTGCCGTGAGCGCGGGTTAATAATACAAAAGAGAGTTATGTGAGAGTGTCGGAGTGACTGTGCTGGCGAAGAATTGACTGACTACTGCTGCTGTCGTCTGTCTATTGATCAGTTTTGCGTAGACTTCTTTCTGAGCAGTTAAAATCAATTTCGGAGAAGAAAAAAAACATAAATTCCTTGTGTTTATCGATTTTATTTGTATTTGATAAGATTTTGAAGAATTTCATTTTGCGAATCCAAATTGAAATATGATGCATTGTATTGAATAATGGCTTATTATTTTCTGAGCTTTTGCCAACTTTTTTCATCAATTTAACCTCAGTTTCAAAATTTAATCGAATTAATGAACGAAGACTTCTAATTCCAAAATTTTTGAAGAAGAAGAAAATTAATAACAGTAATATGCTTTGATTTTGTCTATCATCAAATGCATCATTCTGGATATTCAAAGACATCATCAGAGATATGCACCTTTAATTGGCCCCCCCAAAACCGAGATATTTCGGTATAACGGAAAAATATATCAATTGCCAAGGATAATTCGTCATTCTCCCGAGTTTAGCGGTTTTTGGTTCATCTCTCATTGTTCGAACTTCGTGCTTCCTTTCCACCCAATTATAAACTTTCGCGTGTTTGATGACGTCGGTGATCAGTTGGGTTCATTGACTGAATGTCATTCGACGACAGAAATAAATTGAAAAAAACTGAGAGAATGACGCATCGTACGATCACCACAGAAGAACTATTATCAATTACGGTAGAATGCGTTCCGTTTAAATGAGGATTCAAATATCGTATTTATCGAAATATTTCAGAAACCAAGACGACTAAATACTTAATATGTATCTGCAATGGATACATTCAATAACAATATCGCTTCAATTTCGCTACGCATTTTTCAACTCATTGTCTTTCAATTCACGGTTCCAAACTTTACAACGCTTTATCCATTTCGAATGAAACTTTATCAACAATGTTGTTAAGGATGATAAATCTTGTTGTCAAGGTCGATTTGCGGCGTTCTAAAAGAAGTTCATCAAATTTTGGCGATTAAACTCGACAATTCTTCTCAATATTTCAAACATCAATGACCGGCCAACTAAAAACCGATTCACATAATTATACATATATAATATCGTTTTCGATATTTGATGCATTTTTTTCACTTTCTGATTACGGAGAATCACCACATTTACAAAATTTTTCTGAAAAAAAAGTATGCGATGAGTAAAATTTTTGCATCACTAAAAGTGTTTGTAATTAATTATTTATATTTAATTTGAATCAATTTTCTGTCGGGATATCGATTTGGTTTTTATTTTCTATTTTTAACTGATATAAATATTTTAGCGTCATTTTTATATTTTTTACAAAATTGATGGATGTCGATTTTAAAGTTTTTTTTTTTAAATAAAAATAAGCCTTATAAATGCATTTTACAAAACAGATGAAGCCTCTGACAAACCTCGTGGCGAAGAAAACTGTTCGCGTGTGTGTAGTTAGCATTTTAGTGTTCGCGCATTTAGTATAGTCGGCGTCCGGCGACTGCTGTACGCGGGTAGATTTACGCGCATGCTCCTTGAAAAGGTCTCGCCACGCGTTAGCGTTTATTTTGCTGTTTTCACGTGAACTGCTTTATTTTTCTCGACGAGTTTCGCATTGCCGCATTCCCGTAAATCTATTGACGCATTCCCGTAAATCTACCCGCGTACAGCAGTCGCCGGACGCCGACTATACCATCGAAAAAAAAACGAGCCGCTTGCAAAATTGTGGACTATCGCACTTATTCAAATCGGTAATTCAAATTTGAATTTAAATAGTGCGAATTCGGCTACCGTATTCTGGATAACCTGAGTATCAAACTCACCGAAAATCTACTCGTATTTTTTCGCGAAATTGAATTTCCCGATCAGCCGAAAAATCGCACATGAAAAGAACAATCAAGTCCGTATCAAATGCGGTTGTAAACTGCAACACTTTTTAAACGATTTCATCAACGGGAAATCCGTTCAAGAAAAAAAAATCGTTTTACTATCTGTTGAACGTAATCACTCTTTCTGCAAGAAGAAATTCAAATGCCAGAGTACATAAAAACAACGCTTCGAACGTTTATGAGAAATTTTCGTTTGCAAAATAAAAAGAGGAATATTATGTATTGGGTATAATTGGGAAACATACGTTTTTATACAGTAAATTTATTTGTAAAAATTTCAATGAAAAAAAGCAGCAACAATACGATGGAAATTCCAATAAAACAATTCTAGAACGAATCTGTTGGACCGGAATAATTCACACAAGAAACTATTAGAATTTCTCCTATATGACTACACTTATTACTAGATGAATCTCGAGTTCTACGACTATATTTATACCGACATAGTCATACATATTAAGAATTATAAGTGAATTTCGGATGTGGAAGATTGACAAAGTTGGTGAGAAGGATATTTAATACATGTGTAAGTGTAAAAGAAAAATGAAGGGGAAGCAAATAAATAAAAATTGTAAGAAATTGTCTCTTTTTGGTGTTTTTTCATAAATTTGGATATGTGAATATGTACATGAGTTGATGTCCCTAAATCAAACAAAAAAAATTACTGAATTAGCGAAAGGAAATCGTCACAATTTCCTAAATCAGACAGGCTAATGTCATTTGTGAAAGTAGTGTCATTATCATCGAGAAGTGAAGGGAATGGTGAAGAGATCTGAAAATCAAACCGTATAATTTCAGAAAATATCTATTTGTTCGATTAACCACTGGCGGTGAATATCCCGCATTGATAAGAGAGTTTGATGAATTCGAATGAGCCATATAATTATGTGAGCTATAGCTGACACTTGTCTCCTCAGTAGTCTGAGTCGAAACATCAATCTTCTTTATGTTGTTTCCTCTGCGGAAGCTACTGCTGCCACCCATCATATCCATTAATGGAGGCGAGATTGCCTGAAATGACGACAACATCCACATCACCAATAAAAACGCCGTAAAATTTTTTCATCAACTGATAAGACGCAAAAAATGATGACAACGAAGGAGTTTCAACTTACTTCCAAGCTAATTTCCGCCGGATTTTCGAATAATGGAGGACTGATGCTGCTACTGATCGCTTCGTCAAAGTTCGGATCACCGAACATCTCCGAAAGCAATGTATCTCCTGCCTGTCTTCCTCCAAGAGTATGACAGAACAGCATGTTCTCTGACATCAATCCCGAAAGAGTCTTCAAAATCACTTATGCATATCTAATTTGTTTCGCGCAATTCCTACAGTTATGGTTGGTAGAAGAAGCAAAAGATTTCCGAATCGGCTGCTCGCCGAATAAATTGGATGAAGCTCCTTGACAATCTGGAACAGCATATCCTGCACTTTGTCGCGCAGCTCGGTAATTGCCGCTCGAGCATGATCAGAAATTCCTTTCGCGTCTGAAAATACAAATCATCTTTATCACGTTTCGAGAAATATTGCTGATAAGCAAAAATCAAATATTTTATCAGTCGATACGTAAAATCGTTATATCGAAAAAAAAGTTCATACATTAAAGTTTGCCATTTTTATGAGTGGCTTGTAAAACGACGAAAAAAGACGTTTGAAATCAAAATGTGTCAAATAATGAAGCTTGAAAGAAACATAAACAAAAATAAAAATGAATTTTGGTGATTTTCCATTTAACGACAAAAATGTTTTTTTTTTCATAAGAGTTAAAATTTGACATAAAGATTAGTGTAATTCTGCAGAAATTCTGATTAATGTTCGGGTACGAAGTAAAGTCTGGCGCAGTCTGCTTAGCAATGCTTTGTGTACTTCCACAGAGTTTCAGCAAAACCTGGCCCAAACATTCACGCAGTCGCCTTACAAATTGTAAAAAGGCTTTGTTCGTCACTTTTTTCTATTTCGGGCGTCAAACGACCTATCGCTGGCGGGAAATTCAATTTTTTTGATAAATCAATGTAGATCTACGATTTGTCATTTACGCGCTGGCCTAATAACTGCGCGTACGTTAAGATGCAAAGTACGCAGACACTTTCAAGTCTCTTTGCTTCGAGACACCTGGTAAATAGGCAATATTTCTTTAAAATTAAGTTTCTTACTTGGATTGAGAATTATAATTGCTTTTAGTGGAACAATTTCTTCTTCCTTCAGGTTTAGTTTTCTCAGCGGCGCGACAAGTTCATTCAATGTGCGATCAATCAAAACATTCGACAAATGACTGAAAATACACAGATTATCAAAAACAAATTCAATCGAATCAACATACTTGGTTTCATTGAACTCTGGCGGTAATCGTCGTGGCACGTATGAATGGCTGCAAAGGCACAAGATATCCGGGTTCTTTGTGTTCTCCGCGGTTCGAGCGGCAATCGTGAAAATCGCGAGCGGAGAGTAGCACGATTTAACGAGCGCAACTTTGTCTTCGGTTTCGATTGGCTCAGTGAGCTCACATAAACTGTCGACCCAATCAACAGCCGCAATAGCACGACGATGCGCAATAACACTTAGTTCTCCGACTCGAACCATTCGGAATGGCTCATATCTCATCTGAGAATACCATATTCGTATTTGAGAACCGGATTAAAACATTTTTTTTACCTCCATCCGCCTTCCATCCATCATTGGTTTCGATTCGAACATTTCCCGTAACGTGACATTCTTCGGATCTTTCGCAGTATTTTGCGCACTCATATTATTATCCCCTTTCGACACTTTATCTTCTATACTAACCAACTGCATAAGAAGAATTCGAGTCTCAACAGGAAGTTTTCGCGACCAGTCATCGCCTTGTAATCTCATCATATGGTTCAGAAGCTCTTCATCAATTTGCTTCTTCTTTATTCGCGGCACCTTCTGTTTACCCGTCAGATCGCGATCCGGTCTCACTGCTTTCGGGTCCATTCCGACTTCTATACAACGTTGAAACCGACAAAATCGGCAACTGTTCCTTTGGACTGAAACGCGATAAATTATTGAGAGGTTTGCATTTAAAAAAAGAATTACATTTGTCCACAATGCAATTGTTTCCGAACCGACAAGCATATCGATATTTGCCAGTCAACGTCCTTCTGAAGAATCCTTTGCATCCGTAACATGCGAGGACACCATAATGCAGTTTTGCATGTCCGTCTCCACATACAGCACAAATCGCCTCATTAGGTGTCGAAGAAGACGATGACGACTTGTCCGAAGATCGGATCACATATGTTGAAGGTGTCGGCGATTGAGATGAAGCAGCGAGCATCATATCGCGCGGCATCGACATTCTATAATTGGATTATGAAATTAAGTATGGTGTTTAACAGAAATCAGTTATTTCAACTGCATTTGACCAGTTTCTTCATTTCCCCGTTATTTTAATATTTTCCGTTTTATAGGTTTGTTGATTTTTACGATTGATCCTCGTGGGAAAAAAAAAAACTGAAAACATCACAAAAATGGTTTTTTATGATTCATTGTTATGATTCATTATTTTGAGCGGAACACGAGTTTTCTTTTTGTCAAGCTGGTATATTGACTCTTGCATCATTTCTATCATTTCCTCTGTGTATCAATGTCGTCGATAAACCTCGGAAGTCTATTCAGTTCAACAAAACATATCGTTTTGACCTATTTGATAAACGAGGAACCACCCAAAAATTGATTGAAAACTCAATTTCGAAGGTCATTTGATCTGTGGATTTCTTTAAAAGTGCGTTAGCCGATTTAAGCATTCCTTAAGCATGGCTTCTTATAAATGATATGATATTTTAATGCGGTTTAAATTGATATGCAAACATTTTAAAGGTGAGACGAAAAATGAGAAATAAAGACGACGTATAGATTGAATCGATAGGATGGCTGTTGATGTCTCTATCGCGTATCGCAGATATATTGCCAGTGATAACAGTCCGACTCCCTATTTTGGCCATATTCAGGTGGACAATATTTCCTGCTGGCTCCTCTCCTCTATTGCCTATTTCGCCAAACTGGTTCCGATGTTGAGAGTTTGTCGCAATAAAATATCTCTTATCAAATCACTTCTGTGTTGTGCGTGAGTGTGGGTGTTTTTTAGTGTTGTTTTCTTTTTGCGGCGCGTTTACAGAGAGTATTCTAGGTTGATTTTCGAGACCATTCATCATCGTCAACTATCTTGATTATCGCTTGGTCGCTGTGTATCAATTCTCAAATCGAAGCATTTCTTCGCATTACACCGCACAGTCAAATATTATTTTTTTTATTCTTCTGCCGCTGTCGCGCCAAATCAACGCCGTTGATAGTTCATTGACTCGTCTGATACTACGACACGTGGAACATGTCCCGCGTCGTCTGACTCGCTCGAGACTAGAGACGCAGTGAGGTCGACAAGGAATATAAAATTATGGTCGATTACGAGGAGAAATGAATGCAAAGAACACCGATTGTCGCTACCACATTTTAGTCTCAATTAGCAAAGTGACGACACAACAAAAAATACATTAAAAAGCTCACGTATTTGTCAAATCGGGCATTCTTCTTTTGAGCTCCCATTTCGGTTTCGGGGATGAACGGTTCACGCAAACCCTACAGGAAATGTCTATTTTAGTACAAATATTTTTGAAAAAAAATTCTAGGTAGCAGAAAATGATGTTAAAGTGCGAATTGTGCAATGTAGTTATTATTGAGGTTCAAAATTTCTCCATTCGGCAAAATGAAATGAGCTCATATTCCGTCATTTTTAAATTCATGAAAAGATTTAAAAACTGTTCTTTCACACTATAAAAATTTAAAAGGTGCGCAATACATTAAAGCTGAGTTATTGCCGTCAATTGACAACATTAAAAGATTTAAATTTTTATGGCGAAAAGATTCGAAAGTACTTGTAGAAACTAAAAAAAAATGCGAAAAAAAATACATTTTTGTAGTCTAAACATTGAAAATTGGCTAAATTCCCAAGAAACATGACATAATTTTTGGCGCGAAACGAATGAGTTGATTTACGGCTGAATTTAGGTTAAAGACGCAAATTGGGCGCTAAAACCTCTCCCTAAATTTTTGGCATTTAGATTTTTTTCCTCAGTCGCGCGCCGCCGGCAATATTTGTCTGAGGCCTTCATATTGTCGACGACATTTCAATTGAAATGATTACATGCGTTTATCATTTTTTTAATAGCGTCGCGAATTGAATATACATTTTTAAAAAGTATAACATTTGTGCAATACATCACCAATAAACCTCAAAGTCCCTGTGCTTGTTTTAAATTGCATAGTTTGAAACCGTTACCTGACAACTCTGGTCGCCGGTCGGATCGTGTAGCTAGTCTGTCCATCGACGTACTCATCAGCCCAATACTCGTAATCGCCCATCCCGATTCGCGTTCAACGTCGTTTTCAATGATGCTGCTGCTGCTGCTGTTGGCCGGTGCGGTAGTGATGATCTCTTTCTCTCCGTTTTGCACAGTTCGACGTGCTTCGGTACTGCCTGCAAAAAGCGCTAATAATTGCGCATTATTAAACGGGTTTGAATCGAACGATTCAAATAGAAGCACAGAGGAAATAAGAGAAAGAAAGAAATAAAAAGAGAGAGAGAGAGAGAGAGACTGTCGGTCATTGAAAATCGACGGTTGTCTATAAAGAGAAGAAAACAATCTAAAATGAGTAACTATTTAAATAAAACAAGCTGTTTTTTCCGCTATCCATATCGCCCCAAATTCGACTGCTTCTTCATCATTGTTAAATACTTTCGTTATCAAAATTTACAAAAGATAAGAAAGGAAATGTTGGCAGGAGATGGACCCACTATATTATGTAATCTTTGTAATTATAATATGCAAATTAGCAGAAATCACAAACAAAGTTTGAAAGTTCAAACTTTCGGCTAAGTTTTTGGAAAGTGTTCAAAAGAATTTCAGAAGATCGTGCTATCGTCGAGTTTTATTGTCGGAGGAGACTTAAGATCGAATCACTGAAGAACCGAAGGAAGAGTATGAGGATAAGGAGAAAAAGATAATATTGATATTGTTGCGAGTGGAAAAAATGACAAAATGCCAAAGAAACTATCAAAGCGGTAGGTGTGCGCGTTTAACCTCTCCTTATCTCTGGAAATCAAACGAATGGACAAATTACAGGGTGTCATTTAAGTTCCCGCACAACTTTGTAGACGTACATTTCTGAAACTAAAAGTCCAAATCAAACGAGACTCGAAATATTTTTTATCTATAGTATAACAAATATTTATCTATTAACTCTTTTTGATTCGGCCTCTTTTCGCAGCTATGACTTCACGGAGACGCTTCGGGTAGAATTCGACTGTGGTACGCAGGTATTCGATGGAAAGATTGTCCCATTCCGCCAGTAATGTCTTCTTCAGAGCCTCTACACTTGAGTTGGGTTTTGCGTTGACCTTCTCCTGCAAGACCCCATCACGGAAAAGTCAAGCGGGTTCAGGTCTGGGGAGCAATCAGGCCATTCGGATGACTTGATAAAGTCGGGAAAATGGGTCTGGCACCACTCCTGAGTAGTTTTGGCAGTGTATGCGGGTGCTCCGTCCTGTTGAAAGACCCATTTCTGCCCACCGAAATGCGTTTGGGTCCAGGGCATCACATGCTTCTCCAAAATGTCCCGAACGTAGACTTCTTTGTTCATTTTCACCATCTGATCCACGAAAACCAGGTAGCACTTCCCGGTTGAGCAGATGGCACCAAAAGCCATCACACTGGCAGGATGTGAGGCTGGATGATATGTTCTTCCTTTCTCAGAAGCTTGCTGGGATGTTTGGCCAAGTACTCAATGGTTTTGTGAGTTGAATGCCGCCTCCACACTGAACAGCTTCTCGTCGGAGAAGACAGTGACGAGGTGTTCTCCAGACCGCGTGCGAGCAAGAAGTCGTTTTGCTTTTTCGAAGCGTCTCTGCTTGTTGACGGCCGATAGAATTGCCGCTTTTTGGACACGATATGGGGTCAGTACAAGCTTTGTTTTGACGATTTGTTCCATAGCAAAGATGCTCATTCCCATGTCTGACGCCATCTTTCTCATGCTCCTGTGTGGGTTTCGCCTGATCCTCGATTTAACGGCGTTGATCTTCTGAGGAGTGGTTACTGAGACGAGTCTTCCTTGTCTGGGACGGACACTGGTCGTATTTAGCTACTTGAATCGTTTGATGGTGTCGCAAACCGTTCTACGAAGCACACCGACCCGTTGAATGATGTCTCTCGGGCTCACATTTTGCTTATGAAGTTCGATAATGGAAGCGCGATGGATGTTAGCCTTCGCCATTTCTCGGAAACACATCCGAATGAGGTGAAACTTGGGAAATAAGTAAAATACACCTTATTTAACAAAAATAAATTGTATTGGTGCACAAAAAGTGCGACAGTCAATCTCTTCATGCCGTCAAACTTTTGTGCGGGAACTTAAATGACACCCTGTAAAAAAATGGATACGAGAAATTTCAAATCCAATCCTAATAGTTAAAACTCATCGGATCCGCAAATATTCGAAAAGCCAATCGTTTACGACAATTTTAGAATCTTATCCGGTCGAATTTCCAAATGGATCGTATTGATTCTGGAGGGGAATTTTGTCAAAGATTTCGAGTAAAATCAAGGAGTAGCTGAATATCAAAAGACACGACTTCTGATAACGTAACAGCCTATCAATTTCACCTACATAAATCAGATGGCAATAATTTAATGATGATAAAAACGGCAATAAAAATGTTAAAGAGAAGAAATTCGAATACAAAAATTGAGAGCGTACGCATGATAATAGTTCAGGCCGGAATCTACGTGGAAAATTTCGGGCCGTGATAATCAGTGGCAGAACTACGCAAATTGGGAAAAACCAAAGTTTATCTCACATTCTTTTGGAAAACGATAAGAGCCCAGAGATTTTCTTGATAATTATATCGCAAAACTACTGCCAGTACAAATTTAAAAAAAAACGGAAACCACAACACAAGTTTATGGAAATTGACATAAAACGCCGTGCGCCGTGCGCAAACGGTCCATTTTCTCGTCCACCCCTTCTCTTTTCAGCGCAAAATGGGCGGAGTCGGTGATGAAACGGCGAAAAGGGATTGTAGGCGGCAGAGAAACAGCCAATTCTTTGCATGGCCTATTGATAAAACTGTTGATATTTTTACCGATTCGAGTACATAAACAAGCGGGCAGAAACATTATAAAAGGACTACGAACAATGGAATTGTATACAGGCGATTTCTTGGAACTGCTACGCAGATTGTGTGCGATAACATCCATTCGTGCACTTCGATATACGTAGGAGCAGTTTAGATATTCACTTGGTTATCAATCTTCCAAACTGCACTAATCAAGTACTTTTTGACGTTGTCATTTTCGAACACTTGACAGCCCTGTATAATCCTTAAATACGCGGAACTCTGCCCGATAAGGGCATTAATATTTTAAACCATTGGAATTCAATCAAGTGTTTCTTAAATTTTTTAAAATTTACAAATCAAAAGAGGGTTTTCGATATATTAGGAGAATTTTATCAGGTTGACATGCAAAAAGAGAAGCATATTTTTTTTAGCAACACTAGTTTTGGATCATTGACGATTTAAGTATGTCCACATTTTGGAAAAAAAAATCGCTTCCGGGAAGCAAAGTGGGATCATGCTTATAAAAAAAAAGAATTCCGATCAAAGGATTTTGACCTTACGTCGAAGTTCTAAAAAAACTAACCGAAAAAGATAACCCGATTTTTCTAGAATACCAAGCCCTTTTTGCAATAAATGCAAAATAAAGTTCGCACTTTGCATAATCCACAGTAACACCGCAATCCATGCCTAGCTGAGTAATCATCAACATGCAAAGGTTACGGGAAAAACGTATGCGATATAAATATAAATGTATATAACAAAAACCACGCGCGATTCAGTGGTCGTCTCCTTCGACACGCTTCGCCGCTTCTGGAAACCGATCAACGACCAGAACGATGGCATGCGAATCCGGAGAGAAATTCCGCATATCAAGGTGTTAAAACGAGTAGTACAACAGCGAGGAGAAGACGGCGCGAAATAGGCGAAACACAAAACAGAGAACAAAAGTGGAAGCTTACTGAAATTTGTTGAAACAAGTGTTTTTGACCTTGAGATATTCGTCATTTTAGGGCATTGCAAGATGAGAAATCACTCGCACGCTATTTTCGCATTTTTTTTGGCTTTCAAACAATTGATTTCCGCCGGAGTTAGTGCGAAAGAAGATACGACAACGCATTGGTGATTTGATTTATCATTTCTCCAACTTTGAACTTGTTACGCTTAATTAGGGAATCCCTTATAAAAAAGGGCAACCTTGATAAATGATCTTTGCAATTTTCAGTCAATTAATTCAAATTCTCAATTCCTGTTTAACAATTGCAATCGTTAAACAGCCTTTTAAAATTGTTTAGAGGCGGGTTTCGGCGTATTATTGAAGAGCGGAAAAGAATTTGCAAAAATTAGCATTTTTCCACACGAAAGTGAAACGTGAATGCCGCGATTTTTAAAGATTCGATTCACGTGAATCGAATTCTGGTTCACGTAATACTGTAACAAATAAGCCAAATTCTGACAGCAACACGATGCGACAACAATCTCTGAGATTCTCGCTTAAACGTGATTGATCGCAAACTTTGAAAACACAACAACATCGCCAACATTTATCGTGTGTTGCAAGACGATTTAATTAAAAAATAAATTGAAAAAAAGTATATTAAGCCTGAAAAATGACGGTATCTATGTTGTATTTGTATATATCTGACCTCCTAGCATTTCCATAATCGAAAAATTTACTTCTTTTTATTTTTTAATATTCAATGGTGTCTCAAGGATTTATTTTTAGTTACGCTTTAAAATTTTATCAACTAAACAATAATTTTGGAAAATTCCCAAAAGAAAGTTTTGAGCCAATATTTGGATATTGTATTTACAAAAAAAACTAGGTAAACCGTCTCGATTTCATAGCAAATGCTTTTTGATTCCTTCTATTTACTATATCTTTTGAATATTTTTTATCAAAAAAAAGAGCTGTTGTCTGATGTCTGCCTACACATATAGATAAATAGAAAAAATAACACATTTTAAAAGAGTACGCGTATTATTTTCTTTGTAGCAAAGAAATACGAATTTGCCACACATGCAGACACAATGATATCGAATTCACAATAGAATTCTGAGTGATCATTGCATATTCAAATGCAATATGATAAAACGCCAACCTGAGACGAATTTCCACCTAGTTTGATATACTGCACGGCCCGATAATATGACGAATGATAGATAGGCGCAAGATAGAATACGGCGGGGGAAATGCGATGAAATCAAACGTCCACTTGTCTCGGAGATCATACATGCGCAAATTCAAAAA